AAAATTCTTAAAAGAGTTTTTAAGAAACAATTTTTCATTAAGGACAAGTTAAGCACATAAGTTAAAGATAAAAAATTTATAATCAATAATGTATATAAGATTAGAAAATTCAAAATATCGAGTAGCACTCAATAATCGGGAAAAAAAATCTGAGTTTCATGTAAACCAATATTCAAGATATCGACTCTAAGTTCATACTCGTAAATTACTTAAGGGGAAATTTCCTATTATGTAAGCCTTTATTTTAATCCTTATTAAATCCTAATTTATGTGCGTCATTGGGTCTTAAATTGGGTCTTAAATTGGACATACTTGTTAATTTTAAAAACTGAGAAAAATTTTTATTATAACACCAACACCATTATTATAACACCAACTATAATTACTATGGTGTTGTATAAAAGAAGGATTGAATTTATACAAATACACAAATTTTTGATATATAGAACTTAAATTCTTGGTATATTCTCAACCTCTTAAAGCAGATAAGTAAATATTTTCATTTTCCTGATGAGACCTAAGTAGTTTTGCATTTTTTTTAAATCAAAGCCAATAAAAAGAAAACCTTTTAATAAAAAAAGTTTTTAGCGAATGACCACAAAAATTTTATTATATCCTTATATACCTTTTTATTTTATATAATTCCATTATTGTTCAAAACAAAAAAAAGGTATACTCGAATACAGAAAAATAATATAGAAAATGCCCTTTTAAAACTGAATTTAATCTAATAGATGCTATTATTATAATTTTTAATGTACAGAGAAACCAAAAATCGATTTTGAAATACTACAGGGTCGATTAAAACATGAATTTTCGAAAATTTTATTTACATAGTTTCCAATACATTTAAAGGAAAAAAGATAATAGTATCTTCAATTTTGTTTCACCTCTGTCCGTGACCGTTTTGCCCAAAATCCAATCTAATTCCATATACTCTACATGTGTTTTATCCTTTACATAATGCATTATGTACATATATTGAAATCTATTCTACTCGAAAATATGTATGATCATAATAGAATATCCTTTTTTAATCATCATAAGAAAAAAAAATTAAAAAAAAATAGAAACGAAAAAACTCAAAGAACGGGAATGAAAAGAAGATTATTTTGTTGTGATGTAATTTAAAACCGCACCAAAGATACAAAAGAATCCAATTTAAATGGAAAATTATTGATTGCGTTGTTAGAAAGGGCAAATAGAAATTTTATACTAATAAAGGATTTTTCAACTTTAATAAAAATTACAGTAGACCAAGAAATTCTTGACTTGAGATTTTTAAGATTTTATTATGCAAAATAATTTAATTGGAAAGCATTCATAAAATGGCAAAATTTTCCACATAATTAGGAAATAAAATTATTCCTTAATTGATAATTAAGAACGCTATATTTTTATGCCACACTACAAATCTATATTGAAAGAAAACAAAAATTGACAATATCGAAAGTAATTTAAACTAATTTCGAACAAATTTAAAGTAAGTTATGAGACCTAATTTTTACCTAAATTCACTCAAACGTTTGATAAAATTTAGTTAAATCATACTTATTTCTAGTATCACACTTATTCAAACTCGTTACAGGCTTATTCAAATATTGAACTTTATTTTTTTTTCTCTCAGTGTAGTAATAATTTTAGAATTATTAGAAAATTGCAAAAGGTCCTTCAATTAATATTATAATCGTTTGGTTTCTATGTAGAATTCTATGTTTATTAACTATGTACGATAGGTTTGAATTCCTTAACTATGATTTGGATTTGCACTTTTTTGTATATGTGGAAAATTTTGACACAACTTTAGTACTTTTGATTTAAAATATTTTAATGCAAATTTCATGCTATGTTTTATATAAATCTTTGATATAATACCCTGCCCGTCGTGTGTCCAATTTCAGGACAGATGTATTTCTGAAGTTTTGGTGGAATTGCTTGACAGGTTCGGGTATCTACCATACAACTCCGAAAGTTAATTTTAAATATTTGGAAAAATATCAAAGCTAGATTTATGAAACTCGGCAGTCTTGTGTCCACTTATAGGTCAGACATAATATCCGTGAAGTTTCTATTAAGTGGTTTGACAGGTTCAAGTAATTGCCATTTGGCAATCAAAGTTATTTCAAAAACAAATTTTTAAACTCAGATTGCCAAAGTGCAGTCAGTCTATACCGACTGAAACGTTTTTACTTGTTTTATCTTTAAGTAGTTAAAAATTAAATATGCACCGTATTTTTCAATAATATTTATTTCTTAAGTCACTTAAGTTCGGATTCAAAATTAACCGTTCGGATTCAAAAACAATAGTGTTTTTGGGAACCTCACAATTACAAAAATGAACTAAATTCATTTTAATAATATAAAAACAAAAAGTATTACTTGCATATCTTTAAAATTAAAACCAAATCAGGGGCACCAAAAATTTGTTTTTTGCACCTCATTCAGTTCGACGTTCAAGTCGTGGATAAATAACACATTTTCCTCTCTGGAACACTAGTAGTTGGTTTAGATACTTTCATTCAAACGGGCTTAAATTATTCTTTCCATTCCTAAAATATGCGTTACGTGTGCCAAAATAATCCCAACAAAAACTAACTCTCATACATATGTACGAGTGGGAAAAAATTTTCTTCTTGAAACTTTCACAGCTATATACTTGTGGTAAAAATAAACTCTTTGTAAAAATCACAGTCCCTTGTATGTGGTGTTTTTTTTGCCACTAAACTAAATATTAAGCAATTACTCGATCACTTTTAAAACCAAAATGAATTCTAAATTAAAGCTAGCCGCAAAAGAGTAAGTTACTTGTGATATGATGTTGCTACACAAATTTTAAACGAAAGGTTTTTGCAGTTCTATTTTCGATGTGTCAAAAGTCTACCTCGTACATATTTAAAGGGTAAAAAATGCACTTATTAAAAACTTATTTTTCTTTCATTTCTCTTATTAATGTTGAAAGGAAAATTACTTATACCAGGAATTTACTGTTGCCTTTAATAATAAATTTTTCTCAAATCGAATTAAGGATATGAAAACGAATTTAAATCATAATTTCCATATGTATGTATGCATAAAATATTATACGTGTGTATGTAAAAGTAGGAAATGCTATAAGGAAAATAAAGATGAAAAGGAAAAAAGAACCGAATAAGTTTTATGACAATAATACGATGTTATTGTGTCCTTTATAATTAAGGAACAGGATAATTTTTCTTGTTACTTAAAGGATCCAGTTGATTCATTTTTCTCCCTATATTTTTTTCCTTTCTTTCTTGTTTTTTTGTTGTTTTTTAATATTTTTTGTTAGTTACTTGGCTAGATGAAAACAATGACATAAAAACATTAAATAATATTTTGACTCTTTCACACAATATGTAATTGGGGCCTTAAAAAATTATCTTTGTTTATGATTTGTTTATGATTTTTTTTTGTGATTTTGCTTAGATGATATGATGTTGATGAACCAATCTTTGGTCTACAATACAGAAATGTCAAAGGAAATAATATAAGAATATAATAATAACAAGGATATTGTTAAATTTATGTGTGTAGATATTATGCTAAGTATGTATATATGGAATGTATACATAGTTAGATAAAAGTTATTTGGGAAACAACTAACTAACTTGTTTAAAATTAAGTTTTAAGGCTCTTGAAATTTAGGAATTCAATCCTTTTGGATTTTGGCAATAACAAAAGAAACATTTTTTGTTTTTTTTTCTTTCTCTTATATTACATCAAAAAAAAAGGGTTTCTTATTTTCAGATTAGATTGAAAACCTTATCATAAAGCAAGGTCAAAAATAGTTAAAAAAAAATGAAAACAATTTTGTCTATTTTGTTTTTTCTTTTTTCTATACTTTATGAAAGAATGAAATAGAAGAAAGCCGGATATAAAGAAGATCCTCAAATATTTCACTAGATATACACATAAATATTAAGAAATTTTTTTAATACTATTATTAATTCTAAACATCAAAGGATGATGAAAAAAAATGTAATTTAGGATAAAGTTTAATGAAGTTTGAAAAATGAAAATGAGCAGTTTATAAACAATGTATGTTAGCATGAACCTTTACCTACATACGTATTCTATGGTAAAACAAATGATTTTAATTTAAAATTTTCGTATATAAAAAGTAAGGGATGGAAGATTTATGGAAAATATTACTTAAATTTAAAAACTGCAAATTCTTGAAGCTAGCGATAATGTAAGATTCTAAGCCTATTCTGAGCCCCATGGTCGAATTAAATTTTGTTGCTGTTACACTTATATTTTCTTCAAGTTTTAATTTATCAAGATTAAGAGCAAAATGTTTTTGATATTTTACTGACCTATCAAAGTTCTTTATTTTCTATTAATAAATTATTGCATTCTTGTTTATTTAAAAAATGATAACGGTCTATTTCTATACGATTTAAAACTTCTTTACAGTTTAGTTTTACAAAATGGTCGAGAATATTTGAGGAAAATAGCATGTTTGTTGATTTTCAAATCAAGTATTAAAGTTTTGGGTAAAGAATAAAGAAATTTCTATATTGAATGTTAAGTTGTGAGAATAAGAAGAATAACATGTTATCGCAAGAATAACAAACCCCGAATCTGCAAAATTGTATTAATTTGAGATATTAAACAAATTTTGTTATGAATTTTTCATTTATTTTATAAATTTTTAAAGAATTTCATAAGATCATGGATTTAAAATAAGAAAATATTTATAGCCAAATAAAGAATGCAAGAGAAACTTCTAGAAATCTGACCTTCAATATTGAGGTGGTATTTAGCACAAAAGTGCTGAATTTGGCATCTTGATATTTATCTAATTATCAATGATTCAACTAAAAATTTTCTTTCAATAAAACTTTTCCTTTAAAATCAACTTTTATTTTGATAAATAAAAAAATTGAATTCAATATTTTTATAATGAAATTTTTCCAAAATTCAAATAGATTGTGACCGTAAATGTCATTAAATTTTATTTTAAATTTTTAAAATTTCAGACGCACTAAATCGTTTAAGACGGCCGAACTTTTCTCCATTTAGTTCGAGTAAAACAAATGAGCCCTTAATTGTAGTTGAAGAATCCAACTTTGCAGAAGAAGATGAGCAGGAAAGTTCGCAAGACACGCCAACCCAGCAAAAAGCTAGTCTTGACATAGATTCACCTTGTAATCCATACTTACTGTCACCATGGAGGGATCCTAGAGAAACAAGAAAGCATTCGTTGCCTTCACAGCAGGTGACTGAAGGAATAACAGCAAGTCAAGTGCGACGGTTATCAGAACGGGGAGGAGAAGGCTCAGGACCAAGTCCCAAGGAAGCAGCATTCTTGGCAACATTATCCCAAGCTCCGGCTCCATCTGGGCGCAGGCATTCCGTAGTAACAATATCAAAAATGCCAACAACTCTATTTGGCCGAAGTCGAAGAGAATCTGTTGCTGCTATACCAGGTGGTGGAGGGTAAGAACTTATCAAAAGCAAAATTATAAAATAAATATATTATAACTTTCATATAAACTTATATTTCAGTAGAGTTTTGGGATCAAGGAGAGAAAGTGGAGCATCAGTCGGTCCACCATCGACAGATCCATTAGGTAGTATACATAACTTACAGTTAGATATAATGGATGATATAGTACAATCACGTAAAGCTCGCATGAAATTGTGGACAACAAGTAATGAAAAAGTGTGCGAAGTACAAATTGTTGATGAAACTGGTAACACAACAAACAATTCCCAACGTTATACAAACCGAAGATATTCAGATTTTATTGCACTTCCAACAATACCGTCACATCGTCGTGCATCTGAGCAACCAAATATTGTTTCTCCTTCTGTGGTTACTCCAGGTGGTAGCGTCAACGTCGTTGGAACACCCAGTGCTAGTGGCGGTATAACTGCTCCGCCAATACAAAGGAAAAAATCCAGAACAGGATTACTAGGAAGTCGAACTGAATTATCATCAATATTTAGTAATTTGACATCATCAGCGATTGAAATCAACAAAGTTGATGATACACCATCAACAACAGTAACTTTTCCACAAGTTGGAACTTCATTTAAAGGGAAAACAAATTTAACAGCCAGTAATGCAACTGGTATGTCAACATCAAGTTCAAATATGTTAGATCCAAATGTTGGCCGTTCTACACGTTCAAATAGCTTTGATGTTTCAATTTTACATAACTGCAAGCAATTTATTTCTGATACGGGTGATCGCAGTGCCGCTGAGTTATCTGGATGGTTCGCTAAACGTCATGCACCAATTGCCAAAAAGAAATCGATACGTAGCAAAAGTACAGCGATGGCCTTATCTAAAGATATGCTAGAACGATTACAGAATAAGGATCTATCATTAAAATCAGACTATGGAAAATCAAAATTTTCATCATCATCTTCAGCAACAACATCAACTAAAACTAAAAATAAATCGGACAATAAAAATTCATCACATATGGATGCTCATATGATTGGTAGTGCTATTGAAGGTTTTCTAAGAAAAAGTTCGATTTCATCTGGTAGCAAAGGTGCGATACCAAAAGATAAAAAAACTAAACAAACAAGTGCTGTTCGAACCGGTTTGAATTGGTTTACAAAAAATGATGAAGATGATACAAAAGATTCATGTGAATCATCATTATGCTCAACATTAAAAGATTTATTTGTGAAATAATTAACAGGGAATTTTAGCTTTAAGTTGACCTAAAATATTCAAATCAACTTTTTCAGATAAAAAACAAAAATTTCCCATTTTTTATTTAATTTTATATTTTATAGTGCATTTCTAAAAAATAATGCCTCCACTTAGTTAATATTAATTTAAGCAATTCTCAGTATTAGATCAATCGTGCATAATATATGAATGAGTTCGTGATTTTTTTTTGATAAGCATAAATATTATTTACGCCATAACTGTTACAAACCTGTTTAATATTTTTAATACAGGAAACTATAATTTTTGTTTAAGATTCAACATAATTTGGCTTTTATCTTCAAGTTGTACATCTGATAGTTATTACATAAAGTATTTCATTTTAAAATAATTAAAGATGAAAATGAGATTGAAGTATTTTTGTGAAAACTACGTCTGATCAATTTTAAGTATATGTGACATAAATTCATTATGAAGGAAAATAAACTATATTTTTCAAGGTTCTTCCAAAAAATTTCTGATATTTCCCGCAAATTCATAAGTTAGACTACCAAGAATTCTGTGTAGGGATTTCAATACTGAGAATCGTTTTTACCTTTCTTTATAAGTACAAAGCTGGCATAATAAATAAATTTTTTTAAGCAAAAAAATCTTATAGCTAACAAAATATTCTATTTAAATCTATCTCATAATACTAAATACATGATTATCAAATTATTTAAAATAATTCTTAATAGAAAATAAAAAAAAAAAATAAAAAAAAAATAATAATTTAGTTATAATCCATAAAGATTTGTACGTATATACATATGTATATGTACATAAGAATATGTATGTATATTTATGTATAATTTTGAAAATATGTAAATATTTTAATAATTGAAATTGTATGATAAATGTGAACCGCAAAAAGTAATAAAACCCGTTAACAAAAAATAGATCTTAATATTACATTTAATAGAAAACCATGTAAGTACATAATAAAAAAAAACAATTATAAACTAACAGTTTTTCAAAATAATAAAATTGCGTAGAATTTCTAAATTAATAAAAAATAAAAAGTTAAAAAAAAAGGTAAATCCAAATAAATAAGTAAAAAAAATTTAAACAAATACAATTTAAAAATTTACACATTCCATTAGACTTGTAATACTTAATAATTATTATTTGTAATTGTACAAATTACAAAATTCAATTTCAAGTAATCACTAATAATTATTGTGATAAATTCTTTAATTACAAATAATTTTGAATGGAGAATTTTTTATATTGTTCTAAGTTTAAAATAATCTTTGAATTCTTCTTCGAATTTTACGTGATTAAAGCTTTTCAGTGTTCTGTTTAGGATAAAGAAATCTGGCCCATTATGATTCATTGTGTTCAAAAGGAAATTGACAGTTTTCTTTAAACACATAACAAAAATTTTCCTTGTAAACACACACATTTAAAATCAATTACTTAATAGAGAGCTCTCAAACTAATTCCCGCACGAAATCCTTTAATAATTTGATTTGATGCTATCATAATCCCGGATTTTCAGAAAATTGAGCTTATTATGTATAAATATAAAGTGGTAGTTCCAGTTCTACGGTGCTGGAGAAATAAATTTTTTATTATTTGGCTTTCTGGAACTTAAATACAGTTAAAATATTTTTTTTTTTAAAGGGCAAGTCTAAATTACCGGTAACCCGGTATGTACCTCCCCTCTCTTTGCTTTATATGATTGCCTCTATATCAACTATCTACCTTTGCAATATATCTACCATCTGCTAGCGGAAAATTATTTGTGTAAAGGAAATTTATTCATATTTTTTTACAGTGATTCCACATAATATTTTTTACCCTATTGTATTATTATATTTTTACCCTATTGTCATATTTCTGTATTATTATAAATTTACCCTATTGTCATATTTCGGAAAATTACTTCAGCTTGGTGGTTTGACCTGATAAATATATATGGCACAAGTTAGACCAATATGTACAAGCTGACTTTTAGATCTATTTTTTTATTCCAAATCTTGAATTAATTTTGCACCCTGTTATACCTAATTTGTGGAATTTTTGCACCAAAGTGAAATAATATTAACATTTTTATCAGTATAATTTTTTAGAGTTTTAAGTTTATACAATCGTGTCTTCTATTATTACTCTTTTCTTTTTCAATTTTGCGATTCTAAAAATTAAGAAAAAGGAATGAGAACTAAAAATTTTCCAAAACATTATTATTTAACAATATTATTTGTAATTAGAAATATTTATTATAAAATTAATTAATTCAGAAATAAAATTGATTACTTGCAAATTCGCAAACAAAAATAATTTTCATAATAATTGTTTAGATTCAGTCCAAATACCAATTTAAAAATTTGATGTAATAGAATTAATAGAGCATAATAAAATAGATTTAATATTAAATATAAAATTAAATTAAAAAAAAAAATTTGTTATAATTTTGTGATAGTTGAAAGTAATAAAATGTATTGAACAAATTATATAATCTGCTTCAAAGAGTGAAAGTGTAAAAGAGCAGAGAATAAAGAAAAAAATTGAAAAAAAAAAATAAAATTATTATTCGATTATTTTTATGTAAATGTTGAAAATAAAATATTGTTAAAATTAAAGGATAAAAACTTAATGAATAAAAAAAAATAAAATAAAAATTAAATATTTGAAATTTTTAAATATTTATTTTAAAATTAATTAACAATACAAATTAAGATTTAATGGAAAACTATTCTAAATTGGTAACTAAAAATTGCTTTGATTTCTTTTTTATAAAAAAAAAATTAATAAAATAATATTGTAGGAATGAACACCAATTTTAGTGATCAATTTAAAATAATTTTTACATTATTCTTAAATTACAAAAAAAGCTTTAGAAATTCCTTAAAAAAAAAATAAATTTATTATATAAAAAATGTAAAATAGATTCAAAATAAATTGTGTATATTTTTAAAGTTGTTTAAAAAGCTAATCAGATCCAAATTAAAAGAGAAGTTGGAATACACCAGGGTAATATACATACATATATATCTACTGATTTTCATAAGGATATTTTATTTTTATTTTTCGATCTTTGTTTAAACAACAAACAAACATGAAAACCATTTTGATTAATTCTCGTCTAGGTTTCTTTAATAATATTGAATAAAATCTACGCAATTTAAATTAAATTTGAAATTTATTTCTGATGCCTTGCTGATTTTATAAAAGTGGAGTATGAGTTTTTCTTTAAATCAAAATATTACCCAGGTATTAAGAATTGTTGAATTTTTTTTTATGTATATTAAAAAAATAGAACAAAATTATATAGCTTATATAAATATGAAATCAAATCTTTATCTTTAATATTTTATTGTTCAAATGAAAAAAAAACACAAGTTAACTGAGAGGGGAAAAGAAGTAAACGCATCAACTTTATTGCAAAAATAAATATGAAAAAAAAAACTAATAATTAATAAAATAAAAAATGTTACAAAAAGATTAAGTTAACCAAAATATTTTCTTACGTTAAAGTGCACATACATACAAAATTACATTTTTACAAAAATTTTACATCTGCTAGAATTTCATTTAATTTTTTATTGCCATTTCTACATTTTACTTTTAATTAACATTAATGTTTTCTAATTTAATTGCATATAGAATTAAGTTGGGCATTAGTTTATTAGCTTTGCAGTCTAAGTTAATGAAAATTGAATACAACATTCAATAAGTTCCTGAATTTTACTAAAAAGGTAACTGTGAATTAAGATAATGATGCTTTAACTTATATTTTTAGCGCTTTAAGTGCTGTCAAAATTATGTACCGTATCCCTCGTATTCGATTAACGCTTTTTTAATATTTAATACCCCTAATTCGCATAACGTCATTTTTCTCGTTTGATATTTTTTTTTGTTCCAAAATTTTTTAATTTGACAATTCAATTTCTTGTCGTGCCCTTAAAATCAATTCATTTTCGCACCCTCAAAAATTTATTTTTTCCATCACTTAGCCATTTTTTTTGTATATAAATCCACAAATAAAAAATAATATGTACATACGTATGTAATACGTGCAAATTTTTTTGTTTCACCTCGAATTACGTCATTTAGGTTAACGTCGCAAATTTTCAGTTCCGAAAACGGCGTTAACCGAGGGATTCCTCTAAAGAAAATTATGTGATTAAAACATGTTATATAAATAAAAATTTCGAAAATTTTTGATTGCGTATTAGTATAACGACCGCGCATTTCCATGAAAAAAGCATCATAGTTTTGAAGTATTGCAAGATCAACAGGTGCGTCTTGACGAGAAATTAAAATTTTTGAATTTCTCTATTAATATACAAACGTACATACGTATACAAATTTTATAGAATTTTAAATAATACGTACCTTAAAATAATTATAAAATTAAAGAATATTAGCAAGAGGTTAGCAGAAAAATAAACTAGATTTATTTTTTGGTTAAAATTTTTATATACCTACTTTTAATTTTGTAACTCATGTAATCCTGTATGTATGTTTTCTCACCATTAAACAAATATAAAACATAACCTATAATAAAATCCATAATTATTATTAAATATTAAAATAGGAAGGCCTATTATTATTAGAAACTATAACTAAAGAAAAAAAATAAAAATTAAATTAAAAAAAATGGCACAATTTTAAAATTATAAGATTAAAATTTAAAAATCAAATATATTAATAGTTAAACTGTAAAATGTAAAATAGAAATTTTAATTTTAAAATAAGAAATTAAAGTTGCATATAAAAATATCCTTGTTAAAAAATAAAAAGAAGAAAAATAAACAAAACAAATTCGTGCACGCAATTTAAGAAAATTGAAAACTATTTTTAACTACATATACTAAATTAAATGAAAAAAAATTAAATTAATAAGAACAAGTACGTAGTGTATTTGTTCTCAATATTAATTTACGCATAATAAAATACATGTAAAATATAAATATTAAAAAAATGAGCAAATTGTACAATCAAATTAACACAAAAATAAAAGAATCATACATAGGTACATACATACATAATATGTATTATATAATGGTGGTATTATAATAGTAAAAACACTTATATACATATATATATATATATATATATATATAACAAAAAAGTATTTACCTATATAAACATTAACTTGCCCTCTAATACAACTACATACATATACACACAAACATGTTATGCACGCAATTAAAACAATTAATTATGTAATTTGCTGTTCCTGACCCATCAAAAAAAAACTCGTATTATATTATACAATTAAGTAGTATCCTGTTTTACAATCAATTTTGCATGAGATTTCAACATTTTATTCAGCGGTATATTGTGCAGTCATCACGTAATGCATAAATAAAGAATACTTTTTCCAATTATCTAATTCAAAGATAACATATGAATGGCGTCTTAAAAGCGTTATTTTTATCTATTTTATTTTATTTCTCTGTAATTTAAGTCATATAATTTTTGAAAGTACATTGTCAATATAGGTTGAGTTCATGTCATAGCTGAAGAAAACAACTCTAAACTGCAGTTGACACCATTGCTTAAATGACAATTAATTTTTGAAACTACATAATACCTTAAAAATTTATTTAAAATAATTAAATAATTAACTTACATTGATTCCTCTATCTTCACTTTATAACCATAGCTTTTCAATTGTATTTTTAAGTTATGTCAGTTCCTAATTATCGGCAATATTAATTTGCGTGTTGACAATTAAGAAGTAGATCTTTCATAGTTTTTTGCCCAAAACGATAAAGTTTTTGCAGTGTTGTCACAAAAACACACTACATTTTTAGATCTAAGTAAGACCAGTCAACATAAACTCAACCATAGTAATATGCACTTATCCCTATTGTTGTCATGTCAGCATACATAATGTAGTATGAATTTACATTTATGACAAAATTGTTTTATTTCAACAATGATTAACATCAAAATTGCAGTAATACTGCCCGTATATTTTTGCAAATTTTAGCAATAATTAAATTTCATGAGCTTAATTGTGTATTAGTACTGTATAGTTACACTGCAATATTGAAGCCATAAATATATCAAGAAAAACTTCCTTTATAGCGTGTTGGAATAAAAATATTATTTCTTTTGAAATATACGAATAAAATTCTCCTACTATTTAAATTTAGTTACAATGTCTTTTTTGTTTAGGAGTAAAATACTAGTAATCAGAAATTAATGCAAAACGTGATGTAAAAATAAAATGATGATAAAAGAATGAATTTTGGATTAATAGAATATTTTATATTTAAATATTTAATTTTATGCAAAGTGATTACATACACAGATGGCAATATTTATACAGATTATTAACAATTTCTAAAAACGAAAATATTCAGGACAATTTGAAACAAATTTGGCATTATAACATATTGCTTGTACAAAAAATTAGAATTTTCAATTAAACATAATTTTGAATAAAACATAATTATTATTTGAGGAAAAACGCTTTTGATATACGCTGGTCGTAAATTAGATATGCTTGACTAAAACTTTTATTTGCTTGAAATTTACAAACTTGATTTTGTTGTAATAATCTTCAAGATAAATAATTGTTATAGATTGCAACATAAATTATTAGTAATCACTTTGTAGAAATGTTACACATTTTTTTTGTAACTTTACCTATTAAATTGAAATATTAATAGAATACTAATATTAATATAGTCACCATCTTGAGAAAGCTAAAGAAATATAAAATTTTTTATACACAATCATTTATTTTATTCTTTACTATATTTAACATACAAATTTAATTTTTAAAGGATATCATCAAACTGTTTAAAAAATAAATCTAATATAAAATATAATTATGTGAAATAAAGAGAAAAGGTAAAATGAATTTAATATTGCCGAAATGAAAATTATTAAAATACAGGAGCAAATACGATTGAATCTCAAAAATTAAATTACAAATTTATCATAAATTTATACGAATGGCTTACACATTATATACATAATGTATATAGGAATATATTTAGTTTATATAAGCTCATATAAGGTATTTAGTCTGGATTTGCTTAAAGCAAAATTACAAATCTACAATTATATTATACTGTGCAAATATAATACTAGTGCCCCAAATGTCAGAATAATATTAAATATGAAAAAATGTTTTATTAGAGCAAAATATTTTCTAAACACATACGAATATCTTTTTGCTCTACTGCAACAATAATCATAATTCGATTCTATTAAAAAATGTAAATTTTCGGAATTCCATAGAAAATCTATTACATGCAATGTTTTCTAAAGGTAATTTATTTAAAAGTTATATTTATTTACAAAACATATGTGGTGCTATATAAATGCATATTTGATCAAAAATAAAAATTAAAAAACTAATAAATTGACATTTGACAACAGTGACATAAGTCAAAAAATACGATTTCTGAGTTATTTATATAGCGACAAAAGCTGAAAGCAAATTTTCTTTTGTGAATAAATACCATTTCTCTAGCTCAAAAATTCTTGTTTACAATAAAATATTAAATATTGCTATAACGAGAAAATTGTGTTAACACCAACTCAAACGTGCAAATTAAACGTGAATTATGTCAATGTTGCAGCAAATGAGCGATAATATGTATGTACTTTGATTTAAATTATTCAATCTAATTTTTACCTTTATATGTACAAGATGGCTTTATTTCACATCATCTATTCTATTCCGACCGTTTTAAACACAATTTATCAAAAGAACAACAAGAACAACATTACAAAAGAATATTTCTACCGGATAAATTATTTTATGGAGAGATTAAATGACTGCTATATAAAAAAATAAAAAAAATAAAACCTGATGTTTAAAAAAGATATTAAATTTTCCTTCAAAAAAAAAAAAAAAAAGTTAAATTTAATGAAAAAAAAAGCCGTATGAAATGTCCATTTTTTTCATTCTAAGTGATTTACTTAAATGTTAAAATTAAAAATTTTTCTCTGTGTAGTTCAATATAAAAATGATTTAAAAAAAAATGTTTAAATAGAAAACTATTTCTTTTGAAACATTTGAATTTATATATGTGTAACAGTATTAAAATTAAAGCAAAAAAAAAAAAATCTTACAAAATTAAAGAAGAAAAAAATTTTAGCTTAAAAAGAAACTATTGTTTTTTTTCCAGTGTAATTAATTTTATCAACATATTTCATTAACTTAAAAATAGAACATGTGTTGAAAAATAAAATGGGTTCTCACGTTATTAATGTTCAATCCATTTAGATATTCTTTACCTATTTTAGTTGCCTAATAGACAAAAATTTCATGAGTTAGGGATCCGGTTAAGTTGCATTTGTATACCAATATAATAAGCATTTTTTAAATATATTATTAATTGCATTTTGAATGAGTTGTAAATATTTGTGTACGAGGTAAGTTAGTTTACTTATTACGATAGATCAGTATCAATATTGTTTGAACTCTAAACTTTAATAAATTATTGGCAATAATAAAACAAACAAAATTCCATGACAAAAAAAAATTCTTCAAGCTTAAGTAAGTTTAAATGGAAAATAAAAAATTTTTCATAAAATCATTATTTTATTAATTCTTTATAAGAACTAGATTCATTTGACTTGATTGTTTTGGAATTTAAATGCAACAGTAATTTAATTATGAATAAAAACCAAGCAAATTATATCAGACATAATCAGACAAAAGGTAAATAGTTATGTATTATAAGTAGTCTTTAATAAATTTCTCATAATTTGAGTTCCTAATTCTTTAAACAAAATTATTTAAGTTGCAAAAATAAATGGTAATTAAATCTAAACGAATCTTTCCAATCTAAATAAATCTTTGCTTACCATAAGTTACAATTTACAAATTGTTCCGAACAGCACAAAATAAAAAATAACGCGTAACTAATATAGGATGTAGCAAAATAATTTCTCGCAGAAACTGAGAATTTCTTACTTTCTAATTTGTCTATTTCTTGTTCAGTTGTCATTGATTGCAAAGTGAGAACTCGTTACGTATACTTAGGTACCCATCTACTTTAATTTCTAATATTATAAATGATATTTATATAGTTTTACTTTACACAAAATAATATCAACACTACCTTTATACATAATAATATTATATTTAAATTTTCTATATAAAATTAATCAGTAATCCGATATAAAAATAAAAAACAACATATACATACATACATACTTATATGTATATAGTATAAGTGAAATATTAAATAAGTCAAGGAAATCATTTAAAAAAACATTATTTAGATCATTATAATAATAATTAAAAAATTTACAACAACTACAATTACCAATTAAAATTTAAGAGTCTTTTGAAAATAAACAAAAACTTTTACGAAATTTGACTACAACTAGTACTACTACTACTATACTACTATGTATTTAATGTAACTACAAAAAAAAACCAATCATTACGACAATATTCCATAAAAATATTATTTTTTTTAAAAAAAGATTCAAATTTTTATTTAATATTAAAAAGAAAAAAATAAATAATGTATACATACAGTCATAATAAATATTTGTGACAAAACAAAAATATCTTTCAATTAAACTATTAAAAAAAAACAATTAACTGAAACTTAAACACTAATATTGTAAAAACAAAAATCCAAGCAACTAAAAGAACAAAATAAAATCTTAACACAAAAAATATTAAAAAATTTAATTTTAAAAATAATATTGTACATTAGTATAATAAATATATAAGAATGTATACAATTAAATCCAAATGATAAATAAATATTATATATTATGTAATTATAGTAATAAAGCTAACATATATACACGTACATATATTTACATTGTGTATAAATATAATTACACAGAACATATGAATTATGTATGTTAAATTGACTCCTAAATAAAAATAACATGTTTTGAATTAGTTAAAAAAAAAAACAAGAATTGGTTCTGCTTTTTTACTCAATTTATTAATATTTTTGCAGATCTGTTTCAAAAATAACGTCTTATAACGTTATAGAAAACCCTTCTGTTGATTGATTTCCATCGTACATTTTTGTTTTGGAATGTACTATAGGAAACAAATGCATATTTAATTTTAAAATACGAAAAATCATTAACAAATCTATCTCTTAAAAGAACGAAAATTATAATTAAATTAAATATTGGTAATCAAAATATATTTTATTACAATTACAAATATTGTAGGACTCCCTCTCTTAATGCATATAATAGAAGCTCTATAATACGCCTGTAAATAAAGATTACCGCTTATTGTCAATATTATAAAAAGGTATAATAGAAAGTTGTATCATATTCATAATTGCTATTTTAGTATATCACTTTATTTTCACTATTCAATTCACACCCTTGTACATATTTTATACATACATGATAAGTCAAGCAACACAATTTGGACGTGCTTTAAAAACATCCTATTAAAATAATTTTATTAAATTATTATACATTTCTAACCTGAGAGCATATTGTATATAAATACTATTTTTTACAATTCAATATTTCTGAATTATATTTTTGATTTCATGTCTACAGTTACTGTCCTACTCGATTATCATGGTGTTGATATTTTGCAAATTCTAAAAATATTTCTTCTAAAGTTGTTTGACTAATGGAATAATCTTCAATTTTTAATATTGATTTGTTAGCCTCCATTATTCCAAATATTTTTGACCATTGTATTCCTAATAGTGGTATATAAAATGTTAATAATCCCTGGTGTTGCTCCCTAAAAAATGAATTTAACAATAATCCTTAATACGATTGCACAAAAATTATGAAAATTACTTTAATTCCGATTCTGAAAAATGTTCTTTGACAAATCTCGTAATTTTTTCTACTTCTTCATTTATAAGACTATCACTTACTATTGACGTCCTGTTATGTGATAGCTGTGATAAACTTCGCATAAATTGAGTTGATAATCGTCTAAAATTAAATATAACACTTATTTTCAAAAACACTTATATTACATGGTTGATTAACTAACGGATTGTGTTCACCGTTTTCATCCCGATGAATTTTAATTTTTAAAATTAACCCTTTTGAAAATCTGTTCTTTAGATGTTGTGTAGAACCAATGCATTTGAATTCACCATTAACCATAATAGCTAAACGCGTGCATAATGCTTCACATTCTTCCATACTATGTGAAGTTAATATAATCGATTTTCCTGAATCTCTAATTTGGCATACTTTATTCCATAGTTGACGTTTTGCACCTGGATCCATTCCAGTTGTTGGTTCATCTAGATAAACAACCGACGGATTTCCAATTAATGCTAAAGAGGCACTTAATTTTCTTTTGTTTCCACCACTATATGTTTTTACAGGTTTATCAAAATGTTTCATAAATCCAAAACCTTTTGCTAAATCTTCCGAGATTTGCTGAATAAGATTTCCTGGAATACCACGCAATAAAGCAAATATACGTAAAGTTTCACGTCCAGTCAAATCTTCTAGTAACGCATCAAATTGGGGGCAATAACCAATTTCTTGATATACATCATTCATCTTTGTTTTTACTGATAAACCTTTAACATAAGCTTCACCGTAACTAATTCGCTCATCACCAGTCATCATTTTGAATGTTGTCGTTTTACCAGCACCGTTAACACCAAGTAAACCAAAACATTCAGAACTATGAAAAATGGTTTAATATACAGACACCGATATTTTTATTAAATAAAAGAATATCTATATGCTTACTGTTCGACAGCTACCGAAATATTATTGACCGCTAAAAATTTCCAATAATATTTTGTTATACAATCTACAACTAAGTTAGTATTTCTAACTTCATCTGGTGACATTCTTGCAACCCTTAATTTTTCTTCTTTAACGTCTTCATCGGTTTCAGCGCTAACGGGATTTACGGTATCACTCGGTTTGCTACAATAAAAAATTTAATTATTAACGAGTTAATATAAGTTAATTTCGTTTATGAATTGTAATTGTTGAATTGCATGTTAATGTGAAGTAATACTACAATTTTGTAGTAGCGGAACTGTTTACTTATAATATCAAAACGATATACTTACTAATATTTTTCAAAGAAATATGATTTTATGTAAAAGGTAATCCCATCAATTAAACGTAATTCTTTACATGTTAATATTGCAAATAAAATGCCAGCAACTACAAACGTGTACACGATGTGAGATCCAATACCGGGCTCTTTCCAATCAAAATAATCAGGAACTACAAAATGCACAAAGATATATGGTTAACAATTAGATATTGACAATTGCAATGGTATTATAGAAATAGCTTATAATATAATAACTACGACGATCCTTACCGCAACATTCCTTTGTTAAAGGAAATCGACATAAGTTTTCCATTGTACATTGTTCAGGAGGTATTTGCGGAAAGTAATCACATATTTTTAAGCATGCAGTCTTTGTTCTCGAAATTTTATGTACACTTTCTAACGACTTCGCTAATACATAATTAGGGAAAATTAAAGCAACTGCATTAATAGCTTCCACTATGTTCTTCTCTACAAACATATTCAAAATAAAAACCAAAATTGATAGCGCCATGCCTAAAATAAATAAAAAATAATTTTCAGTCAAATCATCATTTTAAAAAAGTTGTAAAATTTTTAGATCTAGTCATCAGTTTAAAAATATAAAAAATAAATATTAGATTTTTACTACAAATCTAGTAAAGGTCGTGACATTTGTTAAGAAAGAAAAAATTTACTTTTACTATTATAGTACGTGCATGTAAGATTATACCTGTGAAAACATTAAAGATGGACACTCTTGTATATCCTGTAGCTGAATCAGTGAAACAAAATGCCCATAAATATGTCAAAGGTAAGCTGGAAAGCCCGAAAAGCATAAAAACTAAAAATGCTCGACCTGAAAAAAATAAACAAAATAAAATAAATACCAAAGCAAATTGTCATATTTTATTTTAAATAAGATAAACGTAAGATAAAAGCACGAATCAATTCGGATCGATGAAGAATGAAGATTGGGTAGCTTAAGTAAAAAGCTAGTTAAACGAAAACGGTATAATTTTATCAATTATTAAATTAAATATTATTAAATATTAAGTACAACAATTTTAGTTACTTTAATCAAAAATAATTTCTTTTCGTCAATTTGACTTCTAGTAAAGGTCTACTTATTAGCACTAATTAATATATTTAAGTATATTAGTGTTATTTTAGAACATTAAATAATATAACGATTAATTTATATACCTAGTTCTTCAAAAGTAGCAAATCCTTCTTCTTGAAAGCAAGCTATTGTAATGATTGTCATAATTGCTGTTACCAAATAAGTTGCATAATCAGCAAGAAATTGTGTTGACCAAAATGTTATTACTTTAACACCACTTACAAATTGTAAGAGTTTAGCTCGGCTAACACGTTCCTTTATTTGAAATAGTAAATAAAACGATATGACAAATGACATTGCAAAACTTAAATTAATTGACAACTGATAACCAAAATTAACCATATTGGTAGCTTTTAATTTCGTTGTTTCCGCATATGGAAGGGGATGATTTGTAACCTCAATAGTGTACGATGAATCATCGGTGGTAGCTCTATTTTATATATACAAAATAAACAAAAAAAATATTTATTAACAACTGAAAATGAATATTTAGGTGATTTTCAAAGTTAGAGAAATTAACTAAGTATATTATTATACCAAAAGTTTTTTTACCTTAAAACTGCGTTATGAATTGCATTCAATGTTACTGGTAGAACATGTAACAACTGTGCATTAAACGCTGCTGTTATATTCTTTGGAGCTACTACACCACCAATTATGTAATCAGAATTTAGGGTTTTTAAACTTTTCTTACCTAAATCAATTAAATAATTTTCAAAATCTTTTACTTTGATAAATTTATGTTGTGAACCAAACTTTTCTATATATGTTTGATATTGTGTAACGATTGCATCTTCTAAACTGTCTTTGGGTAAATCTTTTGGTTCTAAAGCTGTCACAGTTTTAGAATATTCGCTAATTTCTAATTTTAATGCTTTTAATTCATTGAATGGATCAAATGTTTTAAATATTAACACAGTAATAATTACAAAAAAAACTGGCATAAAATTTTGAATTATCAAAATTATATAATTTCGAATAGTATAAAGATATTTCTTAAGCAGCATAGCCTTCCATTGACTTAGAGTTAATTTAATACCGTTAAGTAAATAAATTCTATCGAGTGAACTGGTACTACCTGTAAATACAAAAAAATGTAAACCTTGTATTCAAAATTTTAACATATTTTCAAGAGGTTTAGTAATTTAAATAATTGTACTTTCATACATATAGACTTCATTAAAGTAGAAAATGCTACTCAAATAACACTACGTTATTGAAGAAGAAGTAAATTTCATATAAACGTATTTATTTTTTAATGATTTTAGAAATACTTAATTATTTGTAATACAAAAGAGAAGAAATTCCATTAAAATATGTGTTTTTAGTTCGTATTTCGAGAACGTTCGGTCGAAAGTAACTTTCGAAACAAATTCCTTCTGCAACGAGTAAACCATTATAAAATTCACAATACAAATCTCTTATATAAGAGAATTAACTCAATTAACCATTCCTATTATATAGCAATAGTGAAAAATCACTATTAAATTAAAAATGTTGCTATTTAAAAAATGGAAGATTTTCCGTAAGTGTTATTTCATGGCTATTGCAATTTCATAATTGTCATGTATGCACTGTTATACTCACTACTTGATGACTCAAGATGAACGTATTTATTTTGAGCCCCAGTTATTTCTGTTCCATTTGCACAGTTAACACCATTAACTTTCTGATCTTGTCTGTCAGAGCCAACTAGCATAAAAACTTCTTCTAAAGTTGTATTTGATATACCATATCCACTGAGTTGAAGCCCTTCTGAGTGCTCTTCCAGTTCTTGTAACATTTTTTCAAAACACTTTGAAAACGTATCAGGTAGTTGATATGTCAATTCAGTTCCAATATCACTTTCGATAACTATATCTGGAATGAATTTTCGTAGAAGATCTGTTATCTGAGACGGTTTACAATCATCTTTTTTTACACATATCTTGAAAAAAATACAGAATATTATTTCAATTGCCAAAACAATACACATGTAATTTAAACGTACCAAATGATAACCAGCACCATATCGTTTTTTCAAAAAGAATGATGTACCATATGCTTTTAACTCTCCGCTACACATTATAGCTATTCTATCACCAAGTACGTCAGCTTCATCCATGAAATGTGTTGATAACAATATTGTTCGCCCTTTTCTTTCAAGTTCCAATAGATCCCAGAGAGCTCGTCTAGCAGATGGATCCATACCAGATGTAGGTTCATCACATAATACTACTTTAGATCCGCCACATAGTGCTGCTGCTACAGATAATTTACGTTTCATACCACCTGACAATTTCTTTGATTGCGTATCGACTTTATTTTCTAATTCCAATAATTTTACATATTTTTCAACTTCACTTTCAACTTCAGTTTCTTTTAAACCTTTTAGTCGACTATAGAATATTATATGTTCACGTACTGTCAGCTCATCAAATAGTATATTATGTTGCGGACATAAACCTAACGACATTCTAGCTTTCATTAAATTTGTTCGGATATCATAACCATTCAAAACTGCGGTTCCTTGGCTTGGCGGTATCATACCAGTTAACATGGAAATGGTTGTGGTTTTACCAGCTCCATTATGCCCTAACAAAACCGTTATTTCATCTTCATACAAATCCATTGTCAATTGATTAACAGCAATTTTATCGCCAAAATCTTTATGTAAATTTTTTATCGATAGACCAACTCTTTTATTTTTTGGTTCAATTTCAAAAGCTGCTGGATCAGATCTTATTGTTGAAATAGTATCTTGAGAAGTATCTGAATAGGAATTGGAACACCAATATGATTTTGTAAATGGAAAATACCACTTTTCTGGTACACCAAATGATCCAGGTAATATTTTTTCTACATAGAGGGCAATTAACATGTATACAACAGAGTCAACTATTAACATTATTAAAAGGAGTCCAACCGAAATATCATCATCGATATTTACCGGTCTAAATAAATTATCCCATTGTAAACCTTCACCGGTACCCTCTAATTTCAAAATTAATTTAAATCCGTAACCCATTGCTGTATTCGAGAACAATGAAAGACCTAATTTTTCAGAAAGTACCATATTTGAATAACTTTTATCAGTAAATTGATATGGTAAAAACCAAATAAACCATAATAATCCTGAGACTGCTGATGCTGTATTTGCTTTTGAAAAAAATGTTGCTACCATAAAACAAAATGTTACCATTGAAATACAATAAATATATAAGAAAACTAACAGAATTGACCAATCGCAGTGGCTTAAAACTGAGACATCTGGATTAGTCCAATGAACCTGAAATCACGGTAAAATTTTTCTATTTAAAAATGTTTATGTAAATTGGATACATTTGTAGAAATATGTATATAAAAAATAATAAATTTTGTTACCTTAAATAAGATTACCATCAAAGTTACTGAAATTAGTGCTAATGGATATGTCTTAAGAAACCAAGCTGTCCAATGCAACCAATTCGGTAAACCCATAATTTTCATAACTTCTTTAAGTTGTTTTTCTTTTTCAGTTGTAACATACTAAAAATTTCAACTTTTAAATAATTTCTTTCTAATAAATATACAAATTAGATATACACAAATTATTAATTTACCTTAACCGTTTGGGAGCATGGATATACAAAACTAATTAATATTATAAAAGACACCATTGATTCTAGACCCGTTAAAATTGGATCAAAAACATACGGTGGATACGGAAATCTTTGAATATTAATTTCAGGTAATTCTTCATTGTTTTTTTTTAATTTTTCTATAAATCCCAAAGCAAATGCATGTTGAATACCAATAAAACCTTCTCTATAATATGATGGGTTTGCATCAAAGTAATTATATGCACCAATTCTGGGTCCTCCAAAATCCATTACTGGAAATAAATTATTTGTCTCCCAATTATGAATTTGATTTCCGAACATATCATTATTTTGTCTCAACTCGCTTGGAAATCTGATGGCATAAGAAATCTTTTTTGGGCATTCCTCACTATTTTTTAAACTGTCATCGAACTGAACACCAGCAATAATACCATTAGTTTTAACAAGTTGATCAAGCTCAGTAACGTTATCATGTCCAGTTACAAAAAAAGGAACTTGCTTTGATAAATCATTGTTCTCAGTTAACCATTTCTGTACGTAATCTGCTACATCTTCTAAACATTTGCTTTTTGGATAATATGCAACTTCATAACGTTTAATACTGCCTGCTGTAATATTAACGCTGAAATTAAATTTTGTTTATATAACATAAATTTATTTTCGTACAATATTTTGTCATTAACACAAATCTTTTTTGATTTTATGTAGAACGTAGACACAGGATGTGAATATTAGGCATATTTTTTATATTTCATATTCTACAACATAAATCTATAAGAACTTATGGGAGTGTCGCTATGTTTACTTACCTTGCTGAAAATGTTATGTTTTGTGCTGGAAATGTTGTTGCATTCGAAAACGTTTTTGGATCAACTAAGCTTCGCACTACTATTAGTAGCCCTGCAAATAATATGGGCAGAACTATTTCAATCACTAGCTGTTTTTTATGATTCCATTGTATCCTCCAATTTTTCCACATTAACAGTGAAAACTTATTCCAGTTATTGGTCATTTTATTTTTATATTCTACGATATAAAAAGGATTTTTTTAATATAAAAAAAATATTGAACCGGCGAATGCTTTTGAATTTTAATTTAAAAGAAGCAAGAATACACTTAATACAATTGAAATATCGAAAGTGAAAAAAGTCTAAATCGTGTTTGGAAGCTTTGTTATGCTAACCATCCAACTCTAATATTTTTATCTAGGAAGTGATTGGATCATAAACGAAATGGGATGAAATAAAACTTTCGGGAAGAAATCGGAAAAGTGAACATTTGAAAATAACGTAAAATTCCAATAGAATCTCACATTTGGTCCCAAAGCTAAATTTTAATCTAAGAATTTAAAAATCGCGCCGCACCATTACAGTAGGGAAGAAATTATTAAGAACCTTTATAAGCGTAATAAAGTGGATTAGAGAATCTACTTTGTAAAGATTGATATTTGTCAACATAATAGTTTTTTCCCGTAAAATTTTTTAATTAATGACGTCTAAAATAATAAAAATAAATTTATTAGAAAAAAATAGGAATGTTGATTTGCAAAAAGATAAGATAAATTTATTATTAAACAAATATGACAATTGATAACAATTGCTTATTGGGTTTTCGAATGTTAATTTTTATTGATTCTACGAATATGAAGCAGGTAATTCTAGCAGACGGAAAATATACTTATAATTATATTAATGATTGATAAATATTTAACGCTGATTTTATTCTGAATTTGAGCTTTCGATTTTTTGGTATTAACGACTTAATAGAAATCGAAGACTATATATTAAATTATTGAAACAAAAAGTTCAAGTTCTTTCACCAAAAGTAAATAAATAAAATTTATATGGCAAACCTATCGCTATTAATTAAGATTTCCAATAAAAAAAATATATATTGATCTAAATCAGAAAAATGTAATGTATATAAGAAGTTTTTTCGTTAAAAGTTTAATTAATTATATTAGAAATAAAGGCCACAAAAGAGTGGAATTTGAATCTAATTTAGGCAAGGACATTAAAATTAACTTTGAATTAAAGTAGATTTTTTTTTACTTAGTCAATATTATTTAGCTGGTATTGTTGCTCCGCTCGTTCAACGAGAACTCAAAGGAAATGAACAGATTTTGTAATAGAACCATAATTTTGATGAAACTTAGTACCGCCGAAATTTAGTACCGAATGTAATAACCGTCATATGCGCATACAACTTTGTCCTTTAACATTAAGCCAATTTAAAAGAGTAAATATTTCACATGAACGGTTCCCTGTTGAATTATACACAGGGTTCCCTACTTTGAATAAAGCAGTTAAAATTAAAATTTTTGTACTCCAAATCATTATTTTGAATCTTCATGTTTCCATTTCGTGAATACTCGTAAGTTGACATACGTACATGCGATAAAAAATTATTGCATATACTGACAAAAAAAAATTTCACATTAACAATAAAGTTTATGTTTCTTAATGATTATTTACGGATATAAATTTTCTAAAAACTTTATTTGCAGCGTATTAGTTTAAAAAAAAAGCATGTAAATTTGTTTATAGAAAAATGTCTGAAGATTAACACTATTACTCGTGTTCAATATAATATGATTTATAATTAGTTGTACAGCAGTAGTGAAATTTACAAAGAATTTAATAAAAAAAAAAATAATTATGCCTTGCAAATTAGTTAATTAAAATGCACTCGAATATTTATCGATATTTTGTTATCTATGACATTAGAGTTTTTGTACGTGCCTAAAAATACTTTATTAATAATAAAGTACTTAATTAATCCAATATTTTCCTGACTTTTTATATTTTATTTTAAAATACTTAGGTACTTAGCTGTTTACTATATACGCGCCTTTCTTACTTTATTTCTTTCGTGCATCCAAAAAAAATTTATTTCATATTTAAATTTTATTACAAATTTTAAAAATTTTGATTTCTAAAACTTATAAAATCCTAATTGGGGCTAATTAATTTGATACATACATACGTACATATATAATAACTAATAAAGTACAAAAATTTGTTACAATATAGATCTAAACAATATGCTGTAGATTTAGTAATGCATTCTTTTACATATCCTGTCTACACGAAAAATTTTAAAATTATATAAAATACTAAGAGAGCTCGCTTTAGTATCTCACATTTTAAAAATTTAGAACTTCTATTTGAAAAGATTAACGTTTTATTACAAATTAAGTTGGGATTGTAATTAAAGAAATGGTTTATTAAATCCAAAGTTAAAGATGTAATACCTTTTGCTTCTCTTTTATTAAGTAAAAAACAATGTGTCTGCTGAAAAAAAAGTGTATGATCGATATACGATGTTCTTTTTATACACTGTTACATTTCTCAGCAGATGAAAGATAGTAGGTTACTCAAAATCAAAGAAAATGGAAAACGGTTTAAAATAAATTTGTCTCTCTCATTTTATTGTGCATCTTCCTTTTATTGATAGAATATTTTTTCTGAATATAGCTTCATTAACATTAAACAGTTAACATATAAATTCATACGGAATATATAAGTTCATATGAATGTCTATGAATATTTAAAACGAGTTCTTTTCATAAAATATAGTACATTCAATAATTTTCTTACTCGAAATTTATCTGGCACATTTAAAAATTCTTTTTTATCCAATAATGAATTTATAAGTTTAATAAAAATTATCTTATATAATTATTACTATAAAAAATAACACAATATTTTAAAAAATTTGATTAAACAATATTTTTGATTAAAAATTAAAATATTTTAATGATGATTCACTTCATTTATAAAATTTTTCACTACTATACGATTTCGATTGATAAGAGCATATTTTTATTCTATAATTAATTTTTTCAAATAATTTTATTTACTTTAAAAAAAAATTTCAAAATTTTTTCACTTTTTGATTTTGAATAAATTATAAATTATTAATATTTAAAAAAAAAATAATTTTGAATTTATTTAAATTGAAATATTCAAATTTAATACAGCAAATATACATCAGCGCGGAATGAATATTTCGAAACGTTACGATCGATTTGTAAAATTAAACTGAACGAAAAAATGAAAAATAAAATTTGATTTCACTATTTTCGTTTTACAACCCTATTTTTTTTTATTGTAGTTGTTTTTGTAATTCGCAAAACTTTCTTAAGCTTATTTTAAGTATTATTAAAATTTTAATTTCATGTAATAATGACTAACAATTTAGCTTAACTTAAAGTTTCTGATTAGAAACAATTGGGAAATAATAATGGAAGAAATAATAAAATAAATGATTTTAACTACTATAGGGTTTAAAATATTTGTTTCGTAAAGAATTTGAATATTTGTTATTATTATTGTAAATATTAATTCTATTTTTGACTGAAATTTCATTTGTCAATTGAATTGTATTGAAATTCGATAATTCATCAAATAAAATCAACATATTATGAATTTAAATTTGCGTAATTTGAGTATTTTTTTTTAACTTTTGTTAATTACAAAACATTATTTTTGATAGGATGACATTTTTTTTGTAGACTTAATTGTGATGTAACGAATTCTTAATATTGCAATATAGGAGGAAGAAATGAAAATTTGTTAGAATTAATTGTTAGCTAGTGAAATAAAGGCCGTATTTTTTTACATTACTCTACCGTAGAAGAGGTTCGATGTGGAAAAATAGCAAGAATTACATTACGTCATTTGTGAACAGCTCTATGATAAATATAAAACAATTAGCTTAAATCTATAATAATCTTTACTTCTTCTATGTATTTAAATGTTACTTAATAGAATTGCCATTATATATTATAGTATTTAATGGAATTGACGTTAAATTTGTTTTCTCTACTACTCCACTATGTGGAGTAGAAGTTTGATTGAGCAATAATTGAGTTATTAGTATTATAATTCTTCTGTTAAAATTAATAATAATATACTCAATAAACTTATAATAAATATTAATAAACTAAAGAGCATTAAAATAAGTTTCAAAAAACGCAAGTGTGAAATATAATATTACACACATTATGTATGTGGGTATAAAATTTATGACAACATTAGATAACAAAGTCAATCCATAATATATAATCTGAATAATCAATTTTAACCAATTTCAATAACGCTATCGCATTATCTGATAAGAAATGTAATCAATAAAAAATTATACAATTTTTTTTTTTTTGTTTTATCATCATATTAGTCTGGTTTTCCTCATTCCTTTTGAATTATTTTTATCTAAAAGTTAAATAAATTTTTAATAATTTCGTATAATAAGTATCGTATTTACATTCAACAATACCTGTCAGATATTAGTGAATTGATTTAACTTAAAATTATAAGTTTATAGGAAATATTTTTAACTCCTTTTACTTCATATTTTAATATAACTTTGCGAAAAAATTAAAAATTCTTTATATAGTTTTTAAACACAATTAATGATTTCGAGGTTTTAAAATTTAAGATTGTATAAGAATGTAGAGTGTATGCCTAAGCCATTTACAAGTATTGCAACTGATCACGAAAGAAAATCAATTAATATTCTTAAAACAATCTATAAATAAATGAATGTAAAATAAAAGAAAATTAACAATGATAAGTTTGATTCTACAAAATTTTTACACACAAACCATTTTTGATGCACTAAACAGCTCGCGAGCGAACAGATACCAAGCCAATATTGGTTTCAGTTTCATAGCGACTCTGTATATACACAAAATCTAATTAATACATACATACTTTTAATTAGTCTTCTTTATCTTTTATGCAATAAAATAATTAAAATTTATTTATTTATGATAAAATAATAAAAATCCAAAATTAAAATATTAACAAAGTATTGTATTTCAATCGTTATTAGCACCATTTTTATAATAATGCAATTCATTGCAACTCATTGCAATTTATTTAATCGATTTTGATAAAATGTCATTTACATTTACTTATAGTCATAATATTGTGTATGCATCCCTAGGTATTGTGTATGCATTTTAGATCGTAATTCATTAAAAATGAATTTTATCACATAGAAAAATCTTCGTTTAAAAGCTTAATTTACGAGAGAAAATATTGAAAATTTAGTATCAAGCACAGGTGGTTCTTTTTAAAAAGATTATAAAAATTATTCTCCATATTTAAAATTGGGTCGATTAAATCTTTAAGGTCTTAAAAAAATGATCAGATCTGAAATATTTCCGTTTAATTGTTTATGAAATAAAGAATACCAAATTTTTATTATATAAAATAATAGCGCGGTTAAAAAAACTTATATAAATTAAGATAAATCCAGTTGCAGTCAGTTTTAAATATAATAATTTTTTTTACGAAAAAGCTTTTGAACTTTGGAAACTACTTAAAAATATTTTTTCTCCAGTTTTAATGATGTTAAACATTAGTAAATCAGAGTTTATAGTTTATTGGCGGGATTGCCAATTGATCGCGATTAGTTGAGAAAAAATTGTTAGCTTTTATTCATTAGAGAATTTTTATGTTTTTTTGGGAGTGAATAATCATGTACTAATTATACTCATTTAAATTACATGTGTGCCAACAAATAAAAATAATTGCCCTTATCATAAATAGTGCTTTTTACGAAAATTTTTTTACAAACTCACCAAAAACAGTTTCTTATTTTAAATTTAACTTTACAGTTAATAGATCTACATAACATGTATAACTAGAGGTAATTAATTGTTTTCACCAATAATCTCATCATCGGACTGCTTAGTTAGTTCAGTAATTTTCATTGAACAAACTTTCACGTTACGTACGCTTCCTCTCTTAATTTTCTGCAGTTTGATAATTTTATAAAATTGCTTTAAAATTATGATAAACTTACAAAAATCAGAAACAAAACTTATCACAATGAAAATAATATTTGTAAAGAGAGACTGTTATATAAATTTTGCCTACAAATTTTCCCACACCGTTTAAAACAACATTATTGTATACAAAGAAATTCAAATTTATGAGTCTTCTAAAGTCTTCTGACCTGCGCAATAAAATAAACCTTTTTATATGTACTTATATAATAATAGATTATTTATGTGAAAAGTAAACGTCAAAACTGTTATAATCTTTCTTCGAAAAAAAAATAAAAATTTATTAAATTTAATTTTGTTTAATGAGTTTTTTGTTATTTAAAAAAAAATATGTAGTTTAATTATACAAAAAAAAGTGCGTTTAAAACAAACTCATAGTATATTTTCCAATCTTTGCGAATTAAAGTTAAATTAACTTGTAAGAAATAACCTATATAATTCTGTACTAACAATATTTTTCGTTTCAGGTTTTCTTGAAGAGTTTCACTTTCAGATGATTTAAACGTTGCCTTTCGAATTTTCTTACCAAACTATTTGATTTGCAATATTTTGATCGAAGAGGAAACAAAATCCCTTTGAATTTATGGAAAATAACTACAGTTAGATATTCTGAACCTCAACTTATAATTTTTCTTTATTCAGAAATCAACGATTATCCACTACATAGAACAAAATTTTTTTTTAAATAATAAATTTAATTATGCAAAAAGTAATAAAATTCTTATAATTATAGGAAAATAATTTATAAGTGTTCAAAATCAAACAAATTTTCTTTTTATTTTAATTTATATAACATTCAGTTTTATTATTATTATTACAATTTTCAAATAGTATTACAATAAAAATATATTCGAGGCACATAATATAACTATATAGATATAAAATAGAAAATAAAATAAAACCCAGGTACTTACATTTAATAATAATTTGATAACAAACCTCTTAATTTTTCATTTTTTAAGGCAAATATAATGTTTTTTTTTTTCTCATTTAAATTTTTTTATTGACATCTGCGCAAATTTTAATTTATTACTATACATAGCATTTTATAATCGTAATCAAACATTAGATCTTTAAACAAAAACATTAATTCAAAACTATATTTCTCAGATTTTTATATAATAGTTATGTAATTATTACTAAATTTAGTATTTATCAATTAGAATTAGTTAAATAATTTTTAATTATTGAAGGAAATTGTATTAGGTACATGCAATTTTCATTTATGCATGTACACAGAATAATTTTTGCATACATCTAGGAACAATTATCAAAACACTATAATTTAATGTTTGTGAATAAAATGAAAGCACGATGTTCAATAGGCAATAATTTAAATTATAATATCTCAATTAAGATCTTAGATCTTGTATGATTACTGCTAATGCATCTTATTATTTTTTATTTATTTTATTGTAAATTAAGGTAAATATTTTTAAGTAAAACTATTTTTACATACTTTTAATATAAATATCCAATTAAAGCTGTAAAATGTAATATCTTATATATATATATATAAGATATTACATTATATATATATATATCAATGCCAAATTGTCGTGCCATAAATATTTCAAATTTATAAATAAATTTATATCTTTTTGTTAATACTTAAATAAATATCACTATAATATTGTAATATCTCTAATTCAATTTCTATTATTATTCTTTTAATAACTAATTTATAATATTTTTAATAAGTAGCACTCCCAATTAAAAACACAAAATATCATTTTCTTATAATTTTTTTTTTTTAATAAAATACTTTTAGTTATTACATAAATTCGACTAGTTTGTATACAATATTTTTGGTAGTTGTATTAGCTCTTTTAAATTTGAAGAGCTCGTATTATTAAAATTAATTAGTTTTTACAAGAATTTTTAATTCGAAATGGAAAAATATAAAAATATAAATTGACTTGTATTGTTATATGCCATTTTAAGTTTTAATGTTTGTATGCCAAATGCCTAATTATATTCCACTATATAATTTTATTAATTTATACATACAAATAATTTTATTACTAAAATATACAATTATAGATATAATTAAATCTTGTGAAGTTAAAGTTAATATTTATTATATAATAAATTTATATCACAAAAAAAATAATATAAGATGATAGGGTTTAACAAATTAGAATGATTAAATTACATACAGATTAAGTAAAACTGAGAATGTTTTATACACGTTAAGTAGCTTATTATTATTGAAACTGCGAACTTAATTTTACAAACAATTTTAGATTTTTTTTTGTTTCTGTACAAATAAAAAATTTTTTTTGTTATTTATAAAAGATAAATTTAAACTTTCTAATTTCTAATTTTAAATTTAGGATTTAATAAAAATGGACCTTATATTTTTAAATATTTATTGTATTTAATGTTTGTTATACACAACATAAAGAAAAATCAATAAATATTTAAGGAATTAGTTGCATACTTAAAGAATTTCACTCAAAATTTACTATAATTATGTTTAAAGGACAATTTTTAAAAAATTTATTTTTTTAAGAATTTTTATAATTTTAATAACACATTTTTGCCAGAAAAGCTATATATTTTCACAGAGTTAAAGATTGGATTAAATGAAATTAATTTAATTAAAAAAAATCAATTTTTCGATACAATTTAAGAGTCTGTCCTAATGTTATTGCACTAATAAAAAATTATGTTATATTTTTCAACTTAAGATTAAATTAAAAATTACTAATAGTCAAACAAAATAAATAATATCAACTACTTTTTTTTTATAAAAATTTCATTAAAGACATTCTCTTATATTAAACCTTAAAAACAATCTCTTGTATTAAACCTTGTTAGGTAATCTATACAATGTTTTTTCTTTAAATCACAATAAACTTTTACTCTGTATTTTTCTTCTTCTTCTTTTTTAACTTTGCGTCATCTTTTTGTGCTTTGGCAAATTCTAAGAAAATTTCTTCCAATGTCGTCTGACTTATAGAATAATCTTCAATTTTTAATTCTTCTTTATGTGATTCCATCAGACCAAATATTTTTGACCATCGAATACTTGATAATGGAATATAAAATGTCAAAATTCCTTGATACTGCTCCCTAAAACAATTTTTTAAATTTTCAAAAATTAAAATTTTGTACAATATATCTATTGTGTAAAAGGAAAATTTTAACTTACTTTAAAATTGATTCACTAAATTGATTTTTAACAAAATTTTTTATTTCTTCAATTTCACTGTGTTCCACAATTTCTTCCATTTGAATTAGTTCTGTTTGAGGAGATCTAAAAATATATTTATATATGTATATTAGAATTAATAAAATCAAATGAGTGTAACAAGTAATATAGTAGGTACATTTTATAAAATCTTATAGCGAATATTGGTTTGCAACATTCACAAATTAAAATTTTATTTTATTGTAATTGAAAGAAGCGCAATATATTTTTAGCAAGTACTATTAATAATGTTATAATATTATATGCATACAAAAATAAACGTATACTTCCATTAGGAATTTGGTATAATGCAATTTATATTCATAGCAAATATTTGTTATAGATTCAGTTGCCTTACTAAGAACCTTATCGAACCAGCTGTCCAAAGATTGTTTCACAAAAATTGAAAAAAATAATTTAAATTAAAATATTTTCTATCAAATTTTAGTTTTATCTCAAATCACGAAAAAATTTCAGAAATTTTAAGAAAGTCGTATGTGTGGCCATGTTGTGGACCTTCAAAGTACAAATTTTCAACCTAGAACTCAAAAAGAATCTTTGTCAACTGCTTAAATACATCAATTAACGTTGATAAAAAGCATAAATCTAAATTTGTAAACAGAAAATTGTTTGAATTCTTACGAAAATTGGAGTTATTCTATTTACAATTTTATTATTGCATTTGGAATTATAAGGTCAGAGTTACATTAATAATGTTCTGAATGCTGTCGATGTATACATTTACCGAAATGAAATTTATGAGCTCTTTTAAAAAATATAAGAATAATATGATATTTTTATAATTTTAATTTGATAAAGGTTAATATAGTAAAGCATACATGACCTCTTTTTGTTAGTGCTATTTCAATTAAAGTTTTTTTCGCGTATTTTCGTAAATTTCAGGCTAAATGGCTAAATGACTAGATAGCTGAATAAAAACCAAATATTACTATTTACGACATCATATTAAAATTCAACAGTTATTACGCAAATAATATAATTATTTATAAATTACTAACAAGCTTTCAAATCATACATATGTACTTGCTTAAGAATGTTCATACGACAACTCAATGCAACTTTCTTACCAATTGAAAATAGTTCTAAAATATACATAATTCAAAATTATAATAATTTCCGAAATTTAAGTTAAACTACACAGAAAGCATAATTTTATATTTCAAGCTATTTAATTTAGAATGGCTTAGCATCTTTTTTTACAGGCTCGCATTAAAACAATTAAGATGAAATCTACATGTGAAATTTTTTTACCTTCTAGTTCTAATATTCGTTTTATTGTTTGTGAGATAAACTTCAAGCTGAATGTCACCTCTATTTCTATAAAAATAATTTTTAAATTGGGTGCAAAAACATATTTTTTCTTTTTTTCATTTTTTCTTTAGTATTAGAAAAAATGTTATAAAACTAAAACATTGTTAAAAAGAAAACATAAACTACTTGTACTAAAAATAAAATTTTGGAAACCAAGAACAAAATCAAAAAAAAAGAGAATTCATCATCTCATATGTTTTACCTTGCCGGAGAGTGCTCCAGATTTTTTTTCATTTTTATTTTTAATACTAATCCTTTTGAAAATTTATTTTTTAAATGTTGTGTCGAACCAATACATTTGAATTCACCATTAACCATAATAGCTAAACGTGTACATAACGCCTCACACTCTTCCATGCTATGTGATGTTAAAACAATAGTTTTCCCTGTATCTCTAATTTGACATACTTTATTCCATAATTGCCGTCTTGCGCCTGGATCCATACCAGTTGTTGGTTCATCTAAATAAATAACTGATGGACCACCAAGTAATGCAATCGATGTACTTAATTTTCTTTTATTACCACCACTATAATTTTTAATTTGTTTATCAAGATGTTTTGTAAAACCAAAACCTTTCGCTAATTCCTCTGATATTTTATTAATTCTTTTTTCTGGTATACCACGTAATAATGAAAAAATTCTTAATGTTTCTCTACCAGTCAATTCTTCTAATAAAGCATCAAATTGTGGACAATAACCAATATGGCGATATACTGTATTAATGTCGTTTCTTAACGAATAGCCTTTTACATAAGCCTGGCCGAATGTAATACGTTCATCACCAGTCATCATTTTAAATGTAGTGGTTTTTCCAGCACCATTAACACCAAGCAGACCGAAACATTCTGAACTATTAAAAAAATATTTCTGTTAAAATTATCTACCATTTTAATAAGATGAATTGTTTTTATAATTCAAACCTTTTAATGCCAACCGAAATTTCATTTACAGCTCTAAAATTCCAATAATATTTCGTAACTTTATCCAATACAATATTTGTATTTTGAATATCATCTTTTGACATTTGAGAAATTCTTAATTTTTCATTAATGACATCTTCGTCAAGGTTTGCATAATCCCCTTCAGATCTCATTGGAGCTCTCCTATTAAAAAATATTTATTTTATTAATAAATATTGTTATTGTAGTAAGTAAATGTAAATTTATCAAACTAAGTATATGTAAATATAATCATAGCAAAAGAAATATTTGCTAATTATTGCCTTTGTAATATGAGCTATCAAGAACATTTTAAAACTGTGATATTAAAAATGTGAAACATCTTCAACAAATTAAGCTATGTACATATTATATGTATATGTATACATTGAAAAATAGATCTTGATCTTGCAAAGATTATAAGCAATCATAAATTACACATAATTACTAGACCCGTATGCAGAAGTTCTTTTTCAAATATATTAAAAAATTATACAAACCTTTTGATTTTTTCCATATAGAAATTATAAATTTTCATAGCAACAAGTTTTATTTGATAGCAAGTCTCATCAAGGAATCCATACTCTTTTATTAAAAGCATTGTAAAACATCCAAAGAAACTAACAATACCAAGGACAATATTTGCTGCAATACCTGGCTCCTTCCATGTCCAATAACCGGAAACTAAAAAATTTAATAAACGGTCGTCAACATTACATAAAACGTTTTGTATATAAATTTATTAAATTAAAGAAATTTTCTGTATTTACCACAACATTTTTCATTGTATGCGCATAGAAGCTCCATTTTACAAAATTGACTTGGAACATTTACATAATTACAAATTTTCATACAAGTTGCTTCAGTTGAACCAATTTTATTAATGCTATCCAATGATTTTGCTAACGAATAATGCGGTAATAATAAAAATACATAATTTAAATTTTTCGCAGTCTCTTCTAAATCAAAAACCGGTAATCCAATTGTAAAAACAACTACAAATAGTGCCATTCCTAAAATATAATTTAAAATACATATAACATATGCTGTGTTATAAATTTATTATAAAAAATATTAATTTACCAGTAAATATATTTATAACAGAAACTCTAGAAAAACCAGTTGCAGGAACTGTGAATAGGAATGATAATAAGTACGTAAATGGTAAAACAACTATGCCAAATATTATTAAAACTAAGAACGTTCGACCTAGAAAGAGAAAAAAAAAATAAAAAAAGAATTTATTTTATTCAAAAAAGATAATTTAATATACTGGAAAACTTTATTTTTTTTTTTAAACAAACCTAATTCAGCAAATGTAGACATTCCATCTTCTTGGAAACATGCCAATGTTACTAATGTTATTATAGCAGTAATTAAATAGCTAACGAAATCAGCCAAAAATTGTGAAAACCAAAATATTGAAACACGTACACCACTAACAAACTGTAATAATTTTGCACGAGTTTCTCTTTCTTTAATAACAAATAAGACGTAAAATGTACTAATAACACCCATACTAAAACTTAAATTTAATGCAAGATTAAATCCTAAATAGCCTCCTGTATCAAGTGCATCTAATTTTGTTTCAGTTGAATATGGTAAAGGATAATTTGTAACTTCAATTAAATTTGAAGAATTTGACACTGCCCTGTAAGGAATAAGCACAAGATTTAAATCAAAATTATAAATTCATTCTAATAATTTATTCAACTTATTTTTCATAATGGAAAAATCACTTCTTTGTTACAAAATTTACTAAAGGTCCCAGAAAATTTTTATTACAAAATGTACAAAATATAATAACTTAAAAAATATTTTGTACAGAATTCTTAAACGGCACTATCCAACAAAGTTTCTATGTTTAGATTCTTAGAACCCAAACTCTTTGTGTAAAAAGAAGACTTGGTGTTCATGATATTCTTTCCAAGTGTTTACAAAATTGAAGGTCTTTATAAGTTTTCGTATATCTTCAAAAAGAAGCTTTTAAAAAGAAATTACTTGCTGTTTTAAAATGTACATTTCATTTCAACATCTACTCATACAGAAACTTAATTTAATTTTAAAAAATATAAAAAAAAAATAATTTTGAAAAGAAGAATTTTTAAAATAATATGTAGATAGACGTCATAACAAAGGGGTAATGACCTGTTTTAAATTTTTTAATCAGAAAGTAAAATAAAAACTTCATTCAAACCAAGAGCGGTTGCCAATCTATTTGATTTGTTTGCCAAAAATTTCACAACTTTTTTCTAATCATATCTAGATTGTTAAATCATTTCAATTTCAACAAATAATTAGGAATATATTATTGAACAGAAGTTTTATCCATCGTTTAAATTTTTAATTTTTTCCCAGATTGTTATATTCAATATAGAAATGATTTTTTTGTACACACATAAAAATATAATTTAACACACCTTAATAGAGCATTATGAACTGTATTTAATGATAAAGGTACAATATGAAGAAGTTGTGCATTAAACCATGCAACAATTTTATCACTGCTTATTGTCGCCCCAATTAAATATTGTGAATTAACTCGTACAAGAGCAACTTTAGCTAAATTCAATATAAAATCAAAATAATCCTTTTCTATACGTTCAAAACCATGTTCACCACCAAAACTACTACTATATTCTGCATATTCGAAACCAACTTTTTCTAAAAATGTTGAATTTTGTTTTTGTAATTCCATTACTGTTACCGTTTCCGAATATCGATCTATTGTTAAAGGTAATGGTTGCAATGTTCTAAATCGATCTTTTGTTCTAAATATTAAAACTGTAATGACCACAAAGAAAATCGCTACAGAATTTTGTATCATCAATAATAAATAATTTCTAAAGGTATATAGAAACTTTTTTAATAGCATTGCTCTCCATTGACTTATCCATAAACGATAACCGCTTAAAAGAATTATTTCGTTTGCAGTAAAATCATTTTCTAAAATTTTTTTCGTTATTATCCGCTTATTAATAATAGCAATCGTATAATAAATTACCAATCGTTAGAGATTCCATATCATCCAGATTAATGTTACCATTATGATTGTTTGATAATCCATTTTGATTTACATCGCTCTTATCAGCACCAACGAGCATAAAAACTTCCTCTAAAGTTGTGTTCGATATTCCATAGCCAGATAAATTTAAGTTGTCAGAGTTTTCTTCAAGTTCGAAAAGCATTTTTTCAAATATACTTAAATATTTTTCGGGGAGTTTGTATGATAGCTCAGATCCAATATCGCTTTCAACAGCAATATCTGGAACATATTTCCTTAAAAGGTTTGTTATTTGTAATGGACGACAGTCTTCTTTTTTTACACAAATCTAAAAATAAAAATTATTGAAATATGGGTTTTACTTACATGTATAATACCCATTTAATACCAAATGATATCCAGCACCATATTTTTTTTTCAAGTAAAAGGGACTACCATTAGCTTTTAAATCACCACTACACATAATGGCTATCCTATCACCAAGTACGTCAGCTTCATCCATAAAATGAGTTGATAATAAAATAGTTCTATTCTTTTTTTCAGATTGCAATAGGTTCCAGAGAGCACGCCTTGCCGATGGATCCATACCAGAAGTTGGCTCATCACATAAAACTACTTTTGATCCACCACACAATGCTGCTCCAATGGATAATTTACGTTTCATACCACCAGATAAATGTTGGGATTGTGTATCAATTTTTTGCTCCAATTCTAAGATTTTCACATACTTTTTGACTTCTTCTTCTACTAACTCTTGTTTTAACCCTTTTAATCTACTGAAAAATATAATATGCTCACGTACAGTTAGTTCATCGAAAAGTATGTTATGCTGCGGACATAAACCTAATGACATTCTTGCGTTCATTAAATTTGTTCTTATATCAAAACCATTCAAAATAGCTGTCCCACTTGTTGGTGGTATCATACCCGTTAGCATAGAAATCGTTGTAGTTTTACCAGCCCCGTTATGTCCCAATAATACAGTTATTTCATCTTCATATAAATTCATAGTTAATCCAGAAACAGCAACTTTGTCGTCGAATGTTTTACGTAAGTTTTTAATTCCTAACCCTACTTTCTTATTTGTTGGTTCCACTTCAAAAGCTTTTGGGTCAAAGCGTTTTTGATAATCAGTTGATGACATATCTTCCACACCTTTGTACTGATTGCCAAACCAAAATTGTCTTGTAAATATAAAATACCACTTTTTTGGTACACCATACGCGCCCGGAAATATTTGCTCAATATATAATGTAACTAGCATATGCAAAATAGAGCTAATTAACATCATTCCAATTACTAAACCTATTGATAAATTGTCATCAACGTTAACTGGGCGAAAGATATTATTCCATTTTAGACCTTCTCCAGTACCTTCAAATCGCAAAATTATTTTAAAACCATATGCCATAGCTGAATTGCAGAATATACTAGTTGTAAGCTTATGTGTTAGTGATAAATTTTCATAACTTTTCTCTGTAAATTTATATGGTAAATACAAAGTGAACCAGGCAATTCCCAATACGGCAGTAGCTGTATTCGCTTTTGAAAAAAATGTTGCAAACATAAAGCAAAATGTTACTGCTGCAATTCCATAGATGCACATAAAAAACAATAAAGCACTCCAACTAGTGTGAGTAAATACTGCAACATTAGCTGCATGCTCTAATCCAGTTATATTAAACTTCCAATTGTACTAAGAGTAATTTGAAAAATGTAAATAAGTATAATTAGAAATTTTAAAATACAAAATTTAATAATTTAAAATTTGTGAACCCTTTAAAAAGTAATTAAATAGTAAGAAAACTCAAAATAGGAGCGACATTCAATATACTTTGGGTATAAGCACCAATATCAATATTGTAATAGCAAACTGAATTTTGTTTAATTCAAAACAAAATCACTACAAAATTAATGAAAGTGAAATATTTAAAATTGTAAATATAGTTACTCCACATCTTTCATTTGATAATGAAAGTAACATCGAAAATTTTTATTCGTTCTTTGAAGTTTTGCAAAAGTTCTACAGCAAAACGACAATTTATGTCAAAATTGTAACCTGTTTCCAAGTTTTCAAATATAAAACATTTGCTAAAGAATCGAGTAACGTAACAAACAATGGCATAAAGACATACATAATATAAAGAACTACTGATTAGTTCGCTACGGCTGTTGGCAAAATGTCTAAAAGTCCCAATTTTAATTGTTTTGTTTTAAAAGAAATTTGGAACCTGTGCTGTATTTACTTCGTTGTTAGGAAAAAAAATAAAAATTGAATTTATATAATATTTATACAGATTTGCAATCTAAATTCAAATTTACCTTAAGTAAAACCACAATTAAACATATAGCCGAAACAATAAGTAAATAGCTTTTTATAAACCAAGCTGTCCAATGTAACCAATTGGGTAAGCCCATAATTTTCATTACTTCCTTCAATTGTTTTTCTTTTTCGATTGTAACGTACTGCCAACAACAATCATAAAATATATAAAATTTATATAAAATGTAGTCCGATTACAAAGCTCTTATAACTTTCCTACCTTTACAGTCTGTGAGCATGGATAAACGAAACTTAATAATATTATGAGTGATACAAATGATTCTAACCCCTTCAATAATGGATCATCAATATATGGCGGATATGGTACTCTTCTTACAAAAATTTCTGGTATCGTAAAATTATTACTATCGACTACAGTATTGTCAGCTGTATTAATTGCACTATAATTTTCTGCAGTATAATTTATATATGATAATCCGATCGCATGTTGAATAGGTAAAAATCCTTCTTTTGTGTAAGATGGATTATAATCATAATCGGAATAACCATATCTTGGTCCACCATAATCGTATTCAGGAAACAATGCATTTGTTCGCCAATCTCTTATCCATTCTAAGGAACTTTGTCTTAATTCACTAGGAAAACGCATAGAATATTTCAATATAGAAGGACATTGTTCTGCACCAGATTCTACACTCTCAAATAATAAACCAGCTATACTATGATTTGCTTGCATATAATTTTCTAATTGAATTCCATTTTTTACTGCATGTATTGTTATATTACGTTTCCCTTCATTATGATTAGTTAACCATGTAGCTGCATTTTGTACTATAATTTCTAAACAAGGACTCTCTGGTGAATAAACTAATTCATATCGTTTTATTGGAAAAGCTGTAGTTGATGAATGTTTCCTAAAATATATTACAAAATATTTACAAATAAATAATTACGATTTCTCTAAATAAGCCTTAAATTAGAAGCAAAAAAAAGACTTACTCTAAATCTAGGACGATCGGTACTTCACCAAATACTGTTGAATTGGTAACTCCTTGTGGATCTACTAAAGTTCTTACTAGAACTAATAAAAGGCAAAATATTGATGGTAAAACTATTTCCAATAGCAATTGAATCTTATGATTCCATTGGAGTTTCCAATTTTTCCACATCAATAAAGAAAATTTATTCCAATTACTAGTCTTCATTTTTAAGTTTTAAAAACTTTGGAACGGGTAAATTCTGAAAAGAAATATAAGAGAAAGTGAAAAATATGCGATTATGAAATTGAAATTTTTTAAAATTGAATACAATGAAGTCTTCAACCAGTGCAATACTTGAGAAACTGACATATGGAAACAATATTTTTTACTGGTTCATTTCTGTAAAATGTGAAAACTTCATTAGTTAGAAGTGTTCGAAATTGTACTCGGATGCTCTAATTGGATTATTGATTAAAGGGTATAGATTTGTTTTTGAAAGGGTATATAGACGAAATTGAGCCTTATCGCTGAATACAGTGTTTACGAATGATAAAAAACAGATTAACAGTTTTAAAGCAAGTTTGGAAAATACGGTAATATTGTTCAGGTACAAATCGATTCATGTTAGTTTGTCATCATGAATATCAAAAAGTAAAAACAGTTTCGATAGCTCCCTTGACAATTAACTCGTTCATCAATTTGGTTTGAGAAAACAATCTGTAACTAAAATAATTTCATTCATACAAAAAAATTATAGTAAAATTTCGATTTGTAACTATAATACTACAAATAATTTTATTAATATTGTAAATTCAGTCAAAAATATGAGCAGTTACTTGTCGAATTGACATGTGTTATAATTCCCACGCCAAGTACAACAAACAGCACAAAATACCAATTTTGAATAGCCTCTTTCTTTGTTTCATAGCCCAATTAATAATATTTCATTGAAAACAATTTTGTAATTAAAAATTTTTACTCTAAACTTTTTCTTACTGAGAACACGAACTGCATACATATATAATGAACATTATTTTAGAAATTTTACATTAAATGTTTTGTTAACAAAAATTTCTGTATTTGTTTTAATGTTATGTACAAGTACATACACAATTTAGAATTCATAAAATCTATTTTTATAATTGAGTGCTTACAAAATATCGAAGGTGTTGATTAAAGGTATTGTGATCCAAATGAATTGTACCCATTAAGTTTTCAGCAATGCGTGCCTATCAATGCATTTACTAAAACAACTTTGATGAAAATTTATGTCGTACTTTGCTTTGACGAGGTCGTAAGTGCGTTCGATTTGGAGTATATGTCAAGTCTTCAAATTTTATATAGTTTTACAGCAATGACAGTGCTTAATCTTTACTAAACAAGCTGTTCGAGGAAACCCATCAGACGTTTGTAATAGAAGTCACACTTATATTTTTGCTTACATATGTACATATATGTATGTAAGTAACCAACATATTTCCTTAAAATTTTATATTTCAATTTAATTTGTTAAGAGGATAACGACTTACATGTTTTTCAAAAACATCACAACTCCAAAGCTGATTTCTTATAATTGTCTATCTTACATTTTTAACCACAAATAAAAAAAATCATAATTATTCATAATGTTAGACGTTTTCTTGAAACTTAAAATCAATGTATCAATTATATGTTCACAAACTTGCACAGCCTTCTAGATAATTCAAATTTTTAAATATCATTTAGAAAAACCAATATAAGGTGATCGATTTCGAATGTGTTGACGACAATATAATTTGTATTTTTTAAGAGAATTACTATTTGTATTGCTCTTATGGGAATGGCAATTGTAGATATGTAGTTACTATCGTAAATTTGGCTCATAGTAGAGTTTCGCTTTGTGCTACCCGAATTCCCTGAAATGCTCGCCAGTTAGTTTCGGTAACAGCCAGAACTCAAATATCAAATTTCAAGAAATTCCATCAATTATTTCCGTAGATATGGTGAAAAATATAAAATCGGCCCGCAGATCAGTTTTCGAGCCCAGATCTTTCCAAAAAATTTATATGTTCATTGTTTTAATACGAAAAATTGAAATATCAAATTTCAATGAAATCGGTTGATTTTTTCTCTTTATATAAGCAAAAATGTATATTTGGCCCGTAGTAAACTTCCAGTTGCTGATGCCTGATTTCTTCCAAAAGTTAGGAATTTTTGCGGACGGTCGAGAAAAGCTTTTACAATATGAAATTTCAAGTAAATCGGTTGAATATTTTCTTCAAAATGGTGAAAAATGTAAAACAAGTCCGCTAAAAAGTGCAGTTCCCGAGGCCTTATATATGCTAAAAGTTGATCAATCCGTGTCATGGTCGAAATAAACTTACATATAAAATTTCATTAAAATCGGTTCAGCCGAACTTGAGATACACGCGTGCACACACAGACCAACAGGTTGCTAAAAATAGTTTATTTACTCTTCCCTACCATGGAGAAGTGCATTCCCACCGAAAACTCGATATGCAAAATTTGTTGCCATCACATCACCTACCTATTGTATACACAATACGGTCGATAATTATTAACAGACATAGAAAAACGCGCAAAAAAGCATCAAAAATGTTAAAAATTTTTGATGCTGGAAAATATTATCGTCCTAAGAGCTTTTTCTGACCTGAAAATAGAGTTGGAGCCCGAACGTCTGTCAATTATTATAGGCGTATTCTTACCTACTTGTATAAACACTAAACTGCATAACTGCGTATGAAGCAATTTCATATTAAATCTTTCTTTTCTTCATTTCAGGAAAGTGTCCTTTAGCGACTCTTGTATCATTTTAGAATTTAAGTGGAAAACTAAACCTAAATATTTCTCAATAATTATAAGAACCTCTTATTCTCTCTACATAGATCATTTTCTTATACACAATTAAATCAACCTTGTCTCAGTTTTAAGACATAAGAAATTTTTGCAAATTCACATTATGTTTGCATATACAATTCTAAGAAATTTTTGATTTGCTTTTTAATGTTAATCTATAAAATTTTATAAGTCCTTTTATTATTTACACACATATGTATGTATGTTTTTCAAATGCCATACATAAATGTCCTTGGCAAAAGGAAAAACAAAACAAAAAGCAATTTGTAAACGATGAAATTTCTAAATTACAATACAACACACTTATTAAAACAAAAAAGTAAAACAAAATTTCATAAATTTTACATTTCATACACAAACACAAACATAAATTTTAGATTTACGTTTTATTTCTATTAAGTATACTATGTAAATGCTCGTATATGTAAATAAACATTAAAAAACAAATATGTAAGGAAGTATATATGTAAAAAAACACATAATGCATTTTGAGTAATCGTGGCGACAAAATATTTTTCTTCTCCTACGTTATTGGAACAAATTTACGCAATTCTATCATACCTACATAGCACATTATTACTCATTGTTTACTAAATTAACCCTTTATTACAATGAATTTTTTTTTTTGGAATGAAAAAATTATTTTAAAGTAAATTTTTGTTTTAGGAATAAAAAATAATTCCAGCGAAAACTCAGCAGGTTTTCCATTTTCCTGGAAAGCTCGATTCTTCTCCTGGATCATATACTTATGTTATATGATGCATTTATCGGATACACGAGTAACGTGAAAAATTAATTGAGTATAACATTTTTAAAATTAAAAGATTAACCAAGTTTTAACAACTTAATGATGGAAGCTAAGGTAGAAACTCTATTCGATTTGGGTTTCATTCAAGTAATATTAGGAAAATTCCAAATAATAAATAAAGAATTCAAGTACTTAAATATAGATAGCATAAAGAATATATACTTAAATATAGCATAAAGAATATTCATATTTAAACAATATAAAATCACTATTTTAATAAAACTTGATTTTGATGGTATAAGCTCTCACAATAACTGGCATAGTTCTTTGAAAAAAATTTTGCTATATATTGAAAACGAATTTGCTAATAGATTTCAGTTTCTGCTATACAACTCAAAAATTTTATTAAAATACTAACTGATACTGAAGATAACATTCTTACAGGTATTATACTCGTAAAATATAACTCACATTTATATTTATTACAATTAAAAATTAAAAAATCTTAAGTGATCCGCACATGACCGACCGCAAAGTGTTTTGTCTAGTTTACCGAAAATGTTATATAAAATTATGAACATGCCTTTTGAATACTGCTTTCAAATTTTAAGTCTACACTAGTAAGCTTTTAGTTAACATTTCTTGAAAAATGTAAATTTGTGTCATCCGTATTCTCTGAAAAGTTCGTCAAAGTTCCTAAGATATGGTAAAAAATCTAAAATCTAAATTCCGAGTCCTGATTTCTCGAAAAATTTTGCAAGTTCATTGTTTAACACCCTGAATTTACTTTCTTTTTATATGCACAAAAATGTTCATTTGGCGCTTAGTAAATGGCATCCGATTTCTTTCAAAAAGAAAGGTTTTTCGTACTATCAAATGAAGCTTATATATGAAATTTCAAGCTAATCTGTTAAACATTTTCTTCAGAAAGAAGTTAAAAACCTTTAAAACAAACCTTTAAAAAAATTAATTGACCCCCGAAATAATTAAATATTATTAGATTTGCATTTATACAATTCAAATTTGAACCTGAACACAAAAATTCTACACAATATTAACTAACCTATGTACTCGTATATCTAACACAGCACCCGGCAAACTATGACCCGCGGGTCACGGAGTGACCCGAAGCATGATTTTATGTTACCCGCTTCGAGTTTTTAAAGTAACTTTCCAAATCTATGTAAGAAAAATAACAAAAAATTGAAAAAAAATTGTTTGCTGTTGCACTCTGAAGTTCGTTGGTTAAGCAGAGGGAAGGTACTTAATAGATTTATAGATTGCTTTGATGCAATACAAATATTTCTGGTTGAAATCGGAGAAAATTATCCCGAACTTGATGATAAGAAATGGTTCTTAAAACTTTTGTTCTTAACGGATATAATGAACCATTATAATGAATTCAACAAACGACTTCAAGGTAACGGTCATACAATTTTAAAATTATTTGAAGAATGGAAGAGTTTTTGCTCAAAAATAGTTTTATTTGAAACAGATGTAAAAACTCGTAAGTTTAACTATTTCTTACATCTTAAAAGTCAAGAAGAAAAAGGCACTATTGATGATTCCGACGTAAAGACATTTGAGTCTTATATTAATAGCATGAAAGACGAATTTGAAAATAGATTTCAAACTTTGAAAACGCACGGCCCAATGTTTACGTTTATAACGAAGCCGGATGTAGTTGATGAAACTATTTTAGAATTACAATATTTTGAGTTCCTCGAAATCACCAATTTCAGCTTAGAACTGATTGATTTGAAATGTTTCACTTTATGGACTGATAAATTTGAAACTTTACGTCGCGATTTAGAAAAAACTGAAGACAATCATCTTGATATAATATCCACATGCTGGGCATCTCTTCCAACAAAGTTTACATGCCTAAAAAAAGTTGCATTTGCTCTTTTATCTGCATTTGGATCAAGTTATAATTGTGAACAAACATTTTCACAAATGAAGTATATATTAAATAAAAACAGGAGTAGTTTGACTACGGAGAATTCTGATGAATGTGTCCGACTTAAGGTATCAACATATGAACCAAACTTGTCCAAATTAACTGCAACAGCACAGCATCATGGAAGTCACTGATTTTGAACTTATAATATTAAATATTGGTTTTGCTATTTTTTGATTTATTTTTATTATATGTGTATTGAATTTATTTCTGTTATGTTTCTATTTATTTTAATATATAATAAATGAATTAACTTTTCGTTTAACTATTCTTTTTAATTGCTTTTTTATAAAATTGCCGCTGACCCGCTATGAGTTTAAAAAAATCTGATTTTTGACCAATTTTACCCACGACCAAAAAAGTTTGCCGACCACTGATCTAACAAAATACAGTCTTTTGGATGTCTTATTGTATAATGTACGTGTTAAGTTTTTGTAAAAACAGTGAAGTCGTGATTACAAAAAATTAATTAATAATAAATTTAATACTTTTATAATACTGTTATACTTAATCACTTTTTTTATATATGAAAACTTTTAAAAATGTATCGGAAATCAAATTTTATAAAACACTCAATATGTACATATGCAAATAAAAATACTATTTACGTACTTATGACTCATTAACTTCACATTAAAACATAATGAAACAGCCACAATAGTTTATTAATTTACTTATTATAGAAAAGAAATGTGTGTATGTGCATGGATATATTTAAATACACAAATAACCTTTATAGTATTACATACGCCCATAATATGGTAATACTATTCATGATTTTTATAGAACAGTGACGTTTCCTAGTTATTAATTTTCACAAACATTTTAGATGTTTTTTAATAAAGCATCAAAAGTATTTAAAGTTAGTATTAAAGTTAGAATTTTAATTAAATATGGCTGATTTTTAAAATTCAGTGTGAATTTCGTTTTATTTAATACATACGTATACAATTTTAAAGTTTACAATCATTCAAGTATATTATACATATATGATATTTTAAAAAGGACTCGCCTATATTTAAATCATTTCTTTTCTTCTTTTCAAATTTCTTTTTAGTCATACCCAAATTGTCTTCGGACACGAACGCTTTTTCGCGCAAATTTACATAATTATATAGGTTTTCGAAAATTTATGTTAATTGTACAAACAAATTTATAAAAATCACTTGTATCACACTTTGATAAAAGCAAAATTTCACAATACAAGACAATTAAATAATAAAACAGACATAATAAATATTTACATTTTAATAACATTCACAGTTCAACTAGAACTTCTCATAAAAATTAGAAAACTAAAATTAAAAAATATTTAAATATTTATAAAAGTTTTAATTTCCGCATCTACGTATAAACGACAATAGGACCAGCCAAGTACTAAATCACATTATCTGCTAAAGCTTTTAAAAACTCAAAAGTTATTTCTTTATAAAATTTATAGAATTTAATATTTTGAAAATAAAATATAAGAGCTTTGTTAAAGGTATGTGTCTAATTAAGAAAACAAATAAATAACTTAAATAAATTTGTCCAAATACTTAAACCAAAAATGGTTTTTCGTCACATATTTAACATTTAGTTTTTCAACTCTGTGTCACACAAGAAATGGGTGTTGTAATTCATTACACTCACTATCAATTCAAAGGGTACGAGTATTGTAACATTACACTCATTACCAAAATAACCACCTTAATTCAAATCTTTTATATTAAACTCACCAATACTTAACCTATTTGCCTTACTTAAACTGTGCCATACGCAAGTTCTACCCAAATTGTTTAAAACTTGTGTTATTAAGTAGAGAACTATTTTGTTCTCAATGTTGTTATTATAATAGCATGTATAACACAAACATTATGGTAACTGCCGCAGATTTTTTGACTTTATCATTAAGTTATTAACTGGGCATTACAAATGCATCATAATAATTCCAAGTGAACAATTTTTTTAGGAATTATAAGGTTGTTATTGCAAAGTTAGTACGGAATTTCTCTTAAAGAACACCATATTTGATCAAGGGATTTTTACGCTATTTATCCCTCTATTTTTTGTTTTTTTTTTCTTGTGTTTTAGTAAATAAAAAACATAAGTTTCTGTTTTAGTGTTAATGCAAACGAATTATATAATGTATGTATACGAAGGTATGGATTTCGCAAAATACATGTATGTTATTATATAGGTACTTTTATTTTTATTTATTAAAAAATTAAAGTCAATATCCTTAATGATATAAAATTAAAAAAATTTTGCTTGATTGTTTAGGTGCTTTATTTTATTACGTACTTTATAGTAAATATGTATACTCGTATGCACATGTATAAATACATATGCACATATAATATGTATATGAAGCCTCATATAAACTTTGGAATTTTTATTTTGACACACTATTTAGCAACAACACTTAGTTCTTTAAACTTACTTATTACGTATCTCTGTTAGAGTCGTTTGCAAATGTATAACTCAAGATGCTACTTATACATTATCTTGTAAATATTTGAAATACCAAGTAATCAGAAAAAATTAAACAGAATTTAAAATTTGTTCCGAAACACATGGAATGTAAAAGAGCGCATTTCCCTTAAATTATTTGAGGCCATAGTTTCTATATAGCTTCATAAAATGGAATTCCCTCAGTAATGGAATCGATATTGCAAAAAAATTTTACTATTATTAGGTATATAATTTTGCATAAAGTTATAAGAAATTTATTCATATAGAAAAATTCTTGAGTAATATCCTTAATAAAAACTTGGTTTTGTTACTAAATTTAGTCAACTGATAAGGGTTTACTTTCGAGTAAGAGAAAGATAACTGTTATATTTTGGCTTTTATAGAATTTCGGTAGTTTTAAAAAAGTAGTGTTTATACTTAGTGTTGAAGAAATGGGTGACCGGAAATTGAATGCTCTACGAAAGTTTTGTTTTAGCAAACCAAAATATTACAAAGAAAGGTACACATCTATTAATTGCCATGTCATTAAAAAACTATCCACGCAAAATTAGCTGAAGAATTATTTTGAGATAACAGATTTTGAAAGAGCAATCTAATCTCTGACAATGAAAAATTAATTTCTATGTTTACGGAATTGACGAGTTTGCAAATTGCATTTGAGTTGCTGCAGATACTAATTTCTTAATTAAGGTTGAGGGGAGGTATGATATGAAAGAATTTTATTTTTGAAAAACAATGCCTTCATTAAGATTTTCAGATGGTGTTCGAGCAAAAGAAATAGGCAAAAGAAGAATTATTCAAATACTTCATAGAATTATTCACGATATTTTTACTATATAAGTAATAATATATAATATACTATATAATAACCACTTGTTGCACTTATAAGATCCAAAAAATATTGCCAACAATGACTTAAAAAAGAACCAAATGTGAACAAATATATAAGAAAAACAGACTCAAGATCAAAAATCTATAACTTAACAAACGTAAGTCTAATTTAAAGTATATGGATCAAAGTAGTGATATTGATTCAGAATTTCAGTACCATAATGGAACAATTCTAAAGAAATTTATTTAACTCAGAGTTACAACTAACAATAACTTTTATTAAGCAATTAAAAAAGCATACTTATTATGTATTTTATTACTAAAGTAATATTTTTGTCATCCCCATTAATGTTATGTGTCACCAATATTGTTAAATATGTACAGTCTCTTATTTTTACAAATAGGTGATTAAATAATATATAACAACTGTATATTTATATTCGGTGTGTATAACCGTATATGGTAAAAGATTAAATGTACATTGTAAAATCATCAAAGCAAACTCATTAAGTAGTTAAATATCTCATTAAAAAATCTGATTCAATGAGAATTTTACTAGAATTTTATAAAAGCTTTTTACGGTTCAGTTGTCTCCTTTTTTTTTTATTAAAATATAAATTAAATTATACCGTATATGTAAATAGAGTGACACGTCTCTGATTAAATTTTATAATAATAAAGAAAAGCATTAAAAATTATTATTGATTAAAATTATTGATCGCTTAAATTTATTAATCTTAACAATTTTATTTTTTCACATGCATTATAAATTAAAAAAATATATTTTAATTTTAAATTATACCTTGTTTTAGTTTGAATCCTTATATTAATTAAAATGTATACGTTAATATACACATCTATTTATATATATATATGTATATATATATATAGATAATGTAATATTTTAAATTTTAATTTAAAAAAGCTTAGGAACTAATTTAAAAATTTAATGCACTTCAATTTTTCTTCTCACATTTTATTTATTAAGTACAAACATTTTCTTTTTTTTCTTAATTTCTAATAATACAATTTTTTAATTAAAAAAAATTGAAAAATCACAAAAAATACTGTTGTAAAAATTGCATTAAAATATTTTGTTAAATTAAATTATAAATATTTTTTTTTATTTAAGATTTCACGTATTTGTTATTTTGTGTCTATGTATCTATTGTATTCTATAAATATTAAATACCACAAAATATTTCAATAAACATTTCATAGTTCTAAATGACGATATACACATACATATGTATGTACACATGTAATAAATTAAGCACTTTTTACTTTCCCCTCAACATTCAATTTTCTTAATTGAATAAAATCTTTAACAAATTGATAATTTCACAACGAAAAGGAAAAATTTTCCCCAAATAATTATAAAATTAAGTAAATAAATAAGTCAATAAATAAAATTATAAATAAATATTTGAAATAAAATTTATAATTAATGAAAAAAATAGAGTGGAAATGACGCGAAGCGCATTAATTTTGAATAACTAATTTTTCTTTTATGTAAAATATTTTTTTAGCGTACTCCCCGCTTATGATATGCGCTCGCAAACGTTCTATGATGACAACTGATGACTAAAATAAAAAATCATATGGACTGACTGATTCAGTAAAAAAAAGCACTGAACTAAATAGTACTGTACTGAACTGAGTTGAATGAGATAGGAATAGTGAAAAATTATAAAAGCCTAGAAATTCTAAGAGAAAAAAAAATAATAATATATACAGAGAAGAGAGAATAAATTTGACAAAAAAAAAATAAAGAAACTGAGACCTTGAATAAAAATCAAGTTTAAGTTTATATTTTGTTTTTGTATACACATACTTATGTATGTAGTATAAAAATTTTTTATTTTGCTTTTCTACTATACTTTTCTACCTGATATATACGTACATAATTATGTATTGTACTATATAGCATATACAATTTAATGTTAGTATGACCCATTCATGCACTTACTTCCCATTTCCTAATTTTGAATGAAAGCTCTTATAGTTTAGAGAAAAAATAAAAGCTTTAAACATGTGCTTGCTATAAACATTGCGCAAACTCTTTTCATAATTTACAATATAAGTATTTTACAATACATTCATTACCATCCTTACACATCACAAAACATATTACAATTCCGTAATATACATACTTATATACTGATTTCCATTAAGAGGGAAAAAAAAACTTAAATTGCAAATAGAGATATAGTAAATAAAAGAGAGTGAGTGCAACAATCGTAAGGTGAGAAAATAAAATTTATTTTCAAAGACCAAACAAAACTATATTGTGAACAAAAAATGACGTCACACTTATTTTTTTTTTAAATACTCAAAGTCTGATTCAGTTCAGTTAATTTTAACGAGGTTCACTTAACAACCTTATTATTAGTAAAGGTATTAAGGTAATTAAATATACACAGGTACAAGTCTACAAGTATCACATTTTGTATGAATATTTTTTAAATTGTATTGAATAATGCTTTTAACAAAAAAAAAAAGCTTTCTCATGTCAGTAAATAATCCACTATTGTATACCTACCTACTTAGTAATGGATTATTTACTGACATTTAACTAAATTAAAAATATCATATGGAATATTAAATAGTTACCTCTGTATACAACTTGACATATTCAAGAGCATGAATATTAAATTAAAGCAAAGTAATTAAATTAAAGTAAAGAACTCTCGTATAGAATTCAGATTTCTTTAATGTTCAAGAGAAAGATATTTCTAAAGAGAAAATCACTTAAATTGCGAGAAATTTGGCATCATTTTCAAAATTTAATCTCACTCATACTAAGGCATATAAGCTTAGTCAAAACAAAATATTTACTTTTTTTAACTGTTTATAAATAATAAATGTATGTAAAAAAGCATTTTCAAAATATGCACATCACTCTTACAAATTAAATAATCTGATTGACAAATAATGACAATTCTCAATGTGCCTCGCATTAGTTCAAACATAACAATAGTTTCTGTTTTATTTTATAAATACACACCAACAATTATTAAACATGATTTATATCTTGAAAAAATTTAAAAATAATTTCCTTTTTCAGATTAAAAAATTCATAGTTTTTCTGCCAAGTACCTCAATAATGGAAAGAATATGTGAAGTATGTGAAATTTTCAATTCTAAAGCATCTTTAATATGCACTTCTCAATACTGTTATTTTATGCGCTTATAAATAATATAAAATTGCAATTTAATGTTCAAGTTATTTTCTTGCCAAATAAATACATACATACATACTTACATAGATAAAAATTCTTTAATTGTATATACATATATAATAATACTATGTAATTGCAACCTTGAAATTTTCATAACGTAAAATATTTTCAACTTTGTATAACTTATTCAAAAATGAATGCATTTTTCCGGATATAATTCACAATATAATTTCGAAATAAGGCGGCAAAAAAACATTGTGAATAAAATTTTGCAATGCATAAATCTTTTGAACGGCTTTGTAAGATATTATGCAAATGCAATTTTAACATCATATTAAAAACCAATTTATATAGTTTTACAGGAATTTTGTCAATAAAATTATTTAAATAAAAACGCAAGCAGCTTTTGCAGTAGAATAGCTGCATAACCCAAATTTGTTTACCACTAAATTCAAACAAAGTTTTAAATACATTTTCCTTTAACTCTGACAAGGACTTCTGTGATATTTTCTATAGTTTCTTAAATTATAGTTCTTATAATTTTTAAGAAATTTTTTCCCGAATTTTTGGTTTTTCATGTTCGAAAAGATGTATAAAACAATTTGGAATATGTCATCAATATAATATTAATATGACAAATCGCTTTCAATTTCAAAGCTAGAAATTATTTTAATTCAATCACGTTTACAATTTAGGCTCTATTGCATAAGGCAATTTTTATCTTTTTATTCAATTAATCAAAAAATTTGCAAAGTTATTTTTAGTAATAACAAACAATTAGTTAAACAATAAGCAAAATGTAAAAATTGTTGGTGCGAAGTACAAAAGTTTATCCAAACAGTTATATTTATAATAAATTTTTATTTGTCCAAGTTTTTTTGATTATAACTTCCATTCTGAATAAGATACGAGTAGGAGCTTCAAACAAACAGTTTTTGAAATGCCTAGTAAAAGCCTTAAAATAGACATGTTGCTCGTTTCTGTATTTTATGTACCTGCTTACCAAGCATTTGAACTTTATGGAAAATCAAATTTTTCACTCGTTTTATTTTAATTCAGTTTTTTTTTTAAAAAGATAATTTGGTAAGGTATTTTTAAAAACTTGAAATTTTTTGTTATAGAGTTTAGCCCAGCTCCTTAAACTTTAATTTAAGACTTGAAACATTAAAAAAATTTTTATTGTGCAGAAGATATAGCGCAAAAACAATTTCTATGTCAAGATTGAACAAATAAAAAAACTTGAACAAATAAAAATTTCATGAAAATTCGTTAAAATCCCTGTAACTCCAAATCCCTTGAGATTTCCTGTAACTCCGAATCCCACATAGTGCGGAGCAAAAGTTTTACCCATTTTCGTTGCTCGGTCTACAATTTGATCCTAAATAGAAAAACACAAAAAGATAGTGTACAAAGGAGTAACTTACCTTAAAGCAAAAATTACTAAGCGAAGAAACGAATAAACTCGTATAGAAGAAAATGGTAAGCAATGCTGCCTGAGATCCGGACAACACTGCTGATATTAAAGAAATCCTATACAGTGAAGTTATCAAAAATGTGATGTTACCAATATCCCAAAATACAGTTACACAAAGTAGCTGAAACGAATTTCCTTTCGACGACAATAAGTCGCAGCCAAACCAAAATTTAAACTTTTTAATTGTCAAACAAACTGAAAAAATAGATCAACTAATGCAAAAGATCGTTGTATTAATAAATTTAATTACAACACTTGTAAGCAAATTATAATGAGGCAAAATTTTAGAATTGCCATTTAGAACATAAATGGCCTATGTCCAAATAAAGATGAATTAGAAATTTATTAAAAAATAACAAAATCGATATCATCATCTTAAAAAAGGAAGAAATTTCAAACTCGATGGCCACGCAATTTATTATATTTGCAGAACATCTTTACCAAGTATTCTTAACTATACTTTTCAATTTCATACTATGTACACACCACTTCCGGATAATATGGAAAACATCTCAAATATGCATGATAGCCAAACTAGGTAAACCGCAAACTGAAGTATAGACCTATAAGTCTTCTTCTGATAATTTCAGAAGTCTTTGAAAAGATATTCTTGTAAAGATTACAACCTATAATAAACTCAAGTAAAATCATCCCTGATCATCAATTTGGTTTCCGCTCGGATAATTCGACCATAGAACAAACACCAATGAGTTGTACAAAAAATCAGACAGTTGTTGAAAAAACAGGAGTATTGCTCAGCTGTGCTCTTAGACATACACCAGGCGTTTGACAAGGTGTTGCATAGGGGTATGATATATAAACTGAAAGTCCTATTACCAAATTCATACTATATGACTTCAAAATCAGATTCAGTGAAATATTCTGAAGAAACCTCGAGATCTCGCGATGTTAGAGCCTCAGTACCTCAGGGATCTGTCATATAGGTCCAATCTTATACTCAATATATACATCAGATTTGCCCACAAATGAAGGTGTAGAAATAGCCACTTACGCCGATGATACTGCATGTCTTGCTAGCGACAGAGATAAGAATCTGGCATCTAAAAAGTTGCAAAACAAACTGAACAAAATTAAGTATTGGTTGAAGATGTGGAGAATAAAATATAGCTTGCCAAAATCAAGTTACATAACTTTTACACTTAAAAAAGATAATTGCGCACCTGTTTACACTGAAGGAAATGCCTTACCTACAACATCATCTGCAAAAAATATCTCGGTCTTCATCTTGATAAAAGGCTCACCTGGTTAAAGCATATTAAATGCAAAAAGAAAGAATGTCAGTTTTATCGCTAAATAAACTTCTTGTATAGCCAAATTAGTATCAGACTTAGTCAGATACTTAAACCAATTTGGACTTTTGGAATAGAATTGTGGGGCTCTGCTAGCAGTTTCAATGTTGAAATTTTACAGAAATATCAAAATATGGGACTAAGAGCCATTGCAAATTCTCCTTAGTTCACTAGAAATATATGAATATCTCAAAATGCCTACTGTAAAAGATGAAGTACGAAGTCACTGCAGAAAATATAAAGCAAAATTAGAAAACCATCCCAATCAATTGGCCAAAAAACTGGCAGATACAAGTCATCACATATCACACGTAAAAAGATGGCAAATTCTTAATCTAGACAATAGAAACTAAACTGTGAAGTAAAAATGTATTTTTGTAAAATGTAATTTTTGTTAAGTTGTAATTGAAGATGGTAGATCAATTGGACGGTATCTTACATGTGATATATTATTTTAACTAACTTACATAACATTTAATTATGACTAGAATAAATCAATTGTAAATAGCAAATATAACAAAAAAAAAATTTTTCGTTCCTCTAACCAATGGTTAATGTTTTTTTTTCTTTATTTATTAGTTAATAATTTTCAATATAATATAAATTCATTAACTTATAACTAGCATTATATCTACATACGGATCTTAGCCTGAGCTGTATGATCCTATATTAATTTAACATTAAATAAAATCGAGAAAATTTCGTGTTTATTTTAAATAATATACTTAACAAAAAAAAGCTATCTGCTGTTTTAAGTACTCATAGTTATGTTGTATATTGTCATATACCTTTCGGAATCACCCTGTATACATGTAATACTATATACATACATCAAAATATTATACAATAGTATGCCGCCGAAAATTTCATTCAAAATATAAATGCAATAATTTTATTTTACTCCGAAAACTTATCGTTGTCTCAAATATTATTATCTGTTATCCAATAAATATGCAATAAATATGATCTACTGTTGAAATTTACTTATAAGTTTAATTACTAGCATATATCCTGGATATACGCAATATTTTTTGTATAATGGAAAAAAAAATTGCTCGTAACATTAAATTTTCTTAAGAACATCCTAACTATAGGCAACATTTCTTTAATAAAAATGGCCATGCATAATAAAAGCTATGTTTTTCATATTTTTAACGTACATGTTAAAAATATGAAAAACATGGCTATTCAAATAAAATAGCAAAAATTATAATTACTTTTTAGCACTTTTCCAAAAATTTTTTGTAAAAAAGTGCTTATTAGTTTCACTCTTTCCGTTCGTGTGTCTGCTTACAAAACTTCTACACCCTTGAAAATAGAAAGCTGAAATTTAATATGTACATAGATCTTTACTAGAAATTAATTTTCGTAGAATATAATTTTTACCTATCTCCTCCCCTATAAAAGTAACACCTCCCCAAAACCCTAAAAATGCCAATTTTCAACTGTTTACTGTAGTTGAACCATACGCATTTTTCAAATTTCTATAAACGCATAAAAGCAGTGGGATGCTTCTTACATCACGGCATACAATACCTGAACCTTAAAAAACAATCCGTTTTTTTTCAAATTTTTGATGTTGTTTTTCTTCTAGACCCCAGGATGTGGAAGCCTGAAATTTTAGTAGCTTTTAGGCACTAACAAATAGTTCATTTCGTTAGAAGAAAATTGTTTTCCATCTCCACCTCCTCTCAAGTTATCGCCTCTTGAAATTTGTAAAATTTGAATTTTTGACACCTTATATTTCCGAAACCGCAAGCTTTTTCAAATTTCTATAAACACAAAAAGTTAACGGTAAATTCCATGACATTAAAAAATATAATTATTTTTCTTAACTCACGAAATCAACCCTTAAAATCGAGCATTATATCAACCCCTGTTTATATTAATTATAACAAAATTAATAATTGCAACATAATGGAAATAGATAGCATATTATGTTTAAAAATTCCATCTGTTCTTATTAAAGTTCGTATCATTTTTAAAATTTGAATGCAGTTATTCTTACGAGTAAAATGTATATAACAATAGCAGTATTATAAATTCGAAGCATGGTATCAGAGTTTCGTATTTCTACCAAAAAAAGTAATTTTTTGTGATTGAACTAACTACTAACCAAGAATGGAGAGGAATTAATACATAAAATTACAATTTTTAAAGCTTCAATAACATAGATTAACGAATTATAATTAATGATATTTTAAGTACATAATGAAAATCACACAAACGAATTTTTGGTGAAAATAAATCGAAACCCGCTAAAAAATTTATTTGTTTTTTTTTTTTCTTTATTGATTAATAAAGTAAAGAACAATTTTTTGAATATTTTTTTTTTTTTGAATTTTTTTGAATACATAATAATTTATTTATTTTATTTTTATATAATGACAATGTAAATTTCTGAGATTAATTTTATTTTTTTCTTTTAAGATTATGGTTAAAATCTAACTTGTTTTAACATACTTATACTATACGATATATATACAATATAATATAATGTAAAAATAAGCAAAATTAACTAACGTAACAATTTAAAATGCTAGAAAAATAAAAATAATGAAGGTATGAATATGACTGTATAATTTTCATATAATTAATACCTACATGCACTTAAATCACTTATATCGCAAAAAACAACATATTTTTTTTTAAATTAAAAAATATTGAATTAATATTTAAATAAAAGTTATCAACATTTTTTTAATATATATACTTTGACTATCACTCATACTCAAAAATTCACATACTTATGTAACTACTACAGGTTTTTTGAAATTTTTCTTCAATTTAACTTTTATCTTTTTACTGTCATTGTTATATTTGTTAAAAATATTAGGAAGACCGAAATTTTTTTTTAAATAGCGTACATATAACTGCAATATTATTAACATAACATCAAAAATTTTAACAAATAATTACTAATAATTTAGAATTATTTAAGTGTTTAGCATAAAATTAAATATTTTCATTCTGGCGTTGCATAGTTTAACAAATTTAAAGGTTATTTGCCAGTATACAGCATGGCATCATTAACAAAATTTTACAAGTTTTTAATTTAAAATTATTAAAATAAAAAATACTGACATTTATTAAAATTTACTTAAAATTGAACAAAAGTTATGATATTTTTTTTTTGTTTTTGAATAAAACTACAGTTTAATTGAAGAAATATAACAATGACGGAGAATCGGAAAAACTTAAACGCGCAAAATCTTCAAAAATTTTCGAGACTTTTTAATAAAATTACGAAAAAGACAAAATTCGCATATTCAATTTTCACTTTTTTTTCTAATCCTAAAACAAAATATTCTAAGTCTACCATTTTGTTGTCTGTTGCAAACACAAAGCTATCAAATCAACACAAAACTAAGAATATCAAAAAGAAATAAATTAAGAAGGGCAATAACATGCTATTCTCTATTTAATAAGAGTTAATAAAAATTCAATCGTTATCGAACGCTTGATATCAAAATAGATTTATAAATTTAGTACTAGAAGAATTCAAAATTTATAAATTTTCTTTTTAATTTAAAATAAATCAAATTAAAGAAAATTAATTTTAAATAAAATTTCTAAATAAAATCTAGTAAATGTTGAAATGATAACTTTTAAAGCACACAAATTTTTATTGTTTTATAAATATGATGTTTTAAATTAATAAAAATTATCACCCACATCCTATTAGACACATCATCTGAACTGAAGATTATTTAAAAGTTTTACAGGATTACAGTAAGAAAATTCAAATTTTAAATTTGATTTTATTCTAAATATTACAAAATTTTTAGATAATATCTTTACATCAAGCGTTTAAAATGGATACTATTAGTGTAGACTCTGATAATTTCCTATAGATATTATAAAATTTTGTTTATACTCTCAATAATTTTTTGAAGATTTTGCATATTTTCTTATTAATATTTTAATGTATGTCTGTATGTAAACTTATACAATATTTAATTTAATTATTCTTAAATTAATAAATTACATCTATTTTAACTAATTTACACAATTTTACATAATATTTTAAAATTTAGAAAATTTTGATTTTAATTAAGTAATTAATGGCCAGTAATTTACAATTAAAATAAAACAAAAAAAAAATTAATAATTAATTTAAAAAATTAAGGCAATAATTACAAGAGGGAAACTTTAATTATATATAATATATATATATATATATATATATATATATTTATATACATATACATGTACATAATAAAAACAAAAATTGGAAACACTATAAGTCTTCTGTGTAAGCGGAATTTGTATGACCATTTTGTTGTTTAATATTCGAGTATTTCACTGGTTTTTCTGTTAATTGAGATTCAACTTTTTCACCTTTATGAATTTTTATATCATTTGGAAATTCATCTGCCCCTTCATTTAAACCACTAGTTGAACCATGTTCAACGTATGTATAACGTAAAGCTAACAAAATAAATATACCCATATCTAAAACCATAAGAGCTGCAAATGCGAAAAATTCAAATGCCTAAAAAAGTATAAAATACATATTATGTAATTAAATTGTAAGTTTACCTTGAACTCAATATTTAATTTTAATATTTAATCTTGTATTAGAAAATGCAATGTACCTGTGAATGAAATTTAATGAATTCAGCGATAAAAACAACCAATAAATTTCCAATAGCCACTGTTAATAGCCAACATGCTTGTAAAACAGATTTCATACTTTGTGGGGCTTGTGTAAATGAAAATTCTAAACCAGTTACAGAGAACATAACTTCACCAGCTGTTATAATAATATATTGTGGTAATTGCCATAACATATGAATTGAATTCGGTTCCGCTAAAACATATTCTGTGAAATTCTGAAATGCCAAAGAAATTTTAATTAATTTTATGCATAGCAAAAGGATTTTGATATATTCAGATGTATTGAAAAATGTGTTGAGTAATTACTGCAATAAAAACTGCAAGCACTGTTCTAATATAGTTACAAATTTTATTTTTATTAATTTAATTATCAGAAAACTTTTCAATTCATTAAGTAAATTTTATAGTAAATTATTAAAATATTCGAAGAATATTCGAACTAACAAAAACAGCGCTACGAACAAAAATTCTGGTGTAAAAAAGTTTGACCCTATATTATATTTAAATAATAAGTGCTCTATTAATTGAGGTTATAAATGTAAAAGCAGAAAAATATTTTATGCTATCTTTTTGGCAGAATATTTTTCGCAGTTCTACCTACAAAAATGGAAACTTTTTAGAAGTTTAAACAAAATTGAAACTTACAAATCCCGTTTGATTATTTCCAGCGATTATGTATACGTATGAACCACCTTGATTGACATCAATATCACCAAATACATGTTCATCGTACTGTAATTTATAAGAACCAGCTGGAACTTTTAAAACTTCTGTTATATTATCATTATTTATAAAATTACTCGTCCCATCATTCACATTTTGAAGTTGTAATTTTTGAGCATCATCATCAACATTAGCCAAAAATCTTAAAGTTGGCATGCCATCCTTCGGTTTGTCAGGATTTTCAATAAATCCTTTTAAAAATGGACCATTTTTATCACTAAATAAGAAATAACTCATAGCTAAACCAGGTTGTAAATCAATTTCTTGCGAAACATTTCCACATATTTTTCTAGTTACATTTGAATTAGAATCATCAACAACCGGAATAAATCGAGCACTGACCCGTGATGAACTTTCAGCCTGAATTAACAAATCTTCATAGACATGAAGTGATTTAATTGTTAAATTTTCATTTTGAATATCGTATAAGTCACTTTGAAATTTATATGAACATGGCATCCCATTAAATATTCTTAATTGAGCCTCATTTGATTTTGGTATAATTGGATATCCTTTTTCTAAATTTAAATCCAGGAAACCTGATATAACAAAAGCTGCTGCTGCTAATAAACCACCAAAAGTAATTTTTTGTAATGGTCTTCTAATACCGAGCTTTGATAAAATTGGATACAGAATGCAATCAAAAAGTGGAATGAAGAGTAATATTAAAAGTGGATTAACAACTTGCATTTGATCGGGTTTTAAAACAAAACCACCAGCAATATCACCAATCATACGTGTTGCTTGGAATGTCCAGCGTGAACCTTGTTGGTCGAACAAAGCCCAAAATACTGGTAACGGTAAATATAAAACTAAAATTTTTAATAAAGCTTTTGTATCTTGTACTAATTGTGCACCATATTTTTTCTCTGCATAATCCAACCAATGTGGTTTTGGTGCTGAATTTTTTTCAGAACTACGTTTTCGTAAAGCTTCTGTTATACATTTTATAACTGATAATATCATATTACCGGATGGTTTTTTCATTACATAAAGTGATTTTCCAGCAACAAAAATTAAAATTGAAACAATCATGAGTAGTGCTGGTACACCAAAAGCCAACGAATAACAATCATTTTCACCAAAACAATGAACATCTTCTCGTAATATCGGTGTTATTGATGTTGATATTAATGAACCAGCATTAATTGCAAAATAAAATAATGAGAAAAATGATGCTAACTGTTTTGCTTGTTCCGGAATTTTAAATTGATCTCCTCCAAATGCTGAAACACACGGTTTTATACCACCAGTACCAGTTGCTATTAATAAAAGCCCAATCACTGTAACAGCCCTGCATAAAAATGAAAATTATAAAAAAATTAATGAAAATATATTTTAAATAAATTTCTATTCTATATTTAATTACTTTGCTGGCAGCTGTAATGGTGGAATAGCTCCAATTGTAATAATAATAGAACCAAGAACATAAACTATAGACAAATACATTATAGTTTTAAAACGACCAATATAACTATCAGCAATTATGGCTCCAATCAATGGAAAAAAATATGCAAAACTGGTAAATATGTGATATAAAACTGTTGCTGTATCATCATCGTAACTTAATCTTCTGGTCAGATAAAGAACAAGAATTGCTAAAATTAAAAATTAAATAAAATATTTTTTATTCTTGAATAATAAAATTGAAAATTTAATACGTACTTCGCATTCCATAATAGTTGAATCTCTCACAGAATTCATTGCTAATAATAAAACCAACTGATCTCGGATATTTCAGTTTCTAAAAAAATAAAGAAAAAATAAAAAATGATTAGTTAATGTTGTTGAAAATTTATTTAAGTTTATTATGTATGTGGTTTTGTAATTGTTACTGAACTAAAGTAGATTTTAATTATGGGATAGAACAACTAGCTACACAATTTTTGAATTAAACTTGTATTTGTAAATATTATCAAGGGTCCTTTAGCAAGAAAACTTAATATATCCTTTATCACCGAATAATAATGCCATGAATCCTAGTGCTCTTCGCATTTAAACAATCATTTAACATAATTAAGATTATTTAAAGCGTTTTCTGCTCTAACATTGTAAAACAATACCTCGAATACAACGAATTATAGAAGTTTCTTCAAAACCTTAACAAAATTTCAAATGTATATAATACGGTATGGTAAACAAAATGGGTTTTAAAATGACTTTTATTAAAAAAATAAGCACAAAACTTAAAATATTCACAAACGCGCCTTAAATAATTTGATAGTATCTTTAATACGAGTATATATATCTTATCTACATGCGGTGATGTTACCCAAAATATATTAAATTTTTCTTTCAAAATAGAAAATTAAATCACGTAAATTGATAAATTTTAAAGTGTTAAAATATTTATGACACACTTTCACTATAATCTTTTAAAAGTAGCATCAAAATCTCGAAAAGATGTGGAAAATATTTTAAAGCATGTATGCACTTACATATATACAGGTGAAAGAATAAAAAATGCTATAATTTCCACACCCCGAATAATTTTAATTATAAAACTGTGTGCCTGTTTAACACAATAATCTAAATTTACATAATATGGCAATAAAGAATAAATTAAGGCGTAAATCAAAAATAATGTAAATGGCATTTAATCAAAAAATATTCAAATTTTTTTGATAATCTAATTATGAAGAAAAGAGGGCTATGCCTTCTTTTAAAATATTTAATCAAATCAAATCAGATCCAACTGTAATGCTTGAAAATTGTGCCAACTGTAAAAAAATCTCAAATCCATTACATTTACACCCTAAAAAAATTTTTAATATAAAAACAATTAAACATAGATTGAACCAAAAATTTCAATTAAAATTATAAAATGCTAATTAAAATCAAAGTTTTATAAATAATAGCTTTTTTTTTAATTTTTATTGAAAAACAGAAATTTTGATTTTGATCTTGAATCTTAATTAAATATTCGCAATAAATAAATGTTCATGGCAAATTTTTGACAATTAATGTCAACAAATAGAGGAAAGAAAACGACTCAGCTTTAATCATATGTGAATTAAAATATTTTTTTTGTTTTTCGTTTTTAATACACTTCCAAAAAAATTAAAAAAAAATTAGCTTATTTGTTTCTCTCTGTTTGTTCACGTGTCTGTAAACGAAATTTTTACATCATTTAAGACAGAAAGCTAAGATTTTATATACAAACAGCTAGATTTTCATGCGTAGAAATTTTTTTAGAAGGAAACTTTAACATTTCTTTAGCCCTTTTCTAAAAAGACCTGTACCGAAGTCTACCTATCTTCCTCACAGAACCTGCAATCATCTCCATTTTTCAGGCCTAGCCTGCCGCGTTGGCCCCTAAGTCTTCAGTGATCCGACAAGAGCCTGGTCAGGATTCCCACTTGATTGGTGCCCATTCCTATAATTTTCTAAAAACGCTTCTGGTCATAATCTTTCAGAAGTTTTTTTAACAGTTACGAAATGTCAATTTACTATTTTCGTTTTCAGAAAACTTTTGGCAGTTTAAAATTTACTTAAAACAATTAATGTAGTATTACTCAAGTTTTATAGCATACATCAAACTGTAAAGTATTATAAACCTACATATATGCATTTATTACCTAGTTATTACAATTATTGGTATATTTTAATTCATTATTCAAACAAGTTTTAAGTACATTGAGAACGTTAAAAAGCACTAGATTTGACAGATTTGCACAACACAATAAATGTTTTCGTATCATTTTCGTATCATTTTCTTTAGAAAATGTCAGTGTGCGAGTGAAATTGAATTTAATTGTCCTGTCATGTTACACCTGGCACACCCAGTAGAATCTTTATATGTGTACATATTATATGTATGTGTGTAAATAAATAATATCAAATTCGTAAACATTAAATAAGAATTATAAAGGCTATCGAAATAATAGGGTTTGCTTAAAATTCAATTACAGGTTTAAAGTATCGAACATAAATATCACACGTCTACAATATCATAAATATTGCTTCATGTAGTTGATTAAAATTCAGAGAAAAAAAACGGAAGACTCAAAAATCTTCAGTAAATACAAAATAATTCACTAATTTTCTCCGTTTTTTTTTTCTTTCGTTGCCGATAATAATAATTTATAACGGCGCTTAATTATAAACCACTTGAAATTTGCCCAAAATTCTAATTACCTATACATACATTTAATGCTCCCTGAATTTGTAATACGTAATTCACTTAAAAAACAATGGGAAGCAATGGAGGCAAAAATAAAGAGAATACCGAAAATTTAACAAAAACATTTAAAAAGAGGAAAAAGCCTAAAATGTTAACCTTCCAAGAAATTAATTTTCCCAAAATTTCCTTATAAAGAACATAAAATTTTGAAAAAAAAAAAAATAATAAAAGTTGTAATGTCAATATTGAAATCGTAAATTCGATTATCGTAATGTCCTCATTGACTTGGGTTCAAGTCTCAAGTATTAAATATAAAGGTCCTGTTATCAATAACCATATTTGAAAATTACTTTTATCTTCTTCATTAACATTTCTAAAATGTAAAACGAGCTTAATTCAATTCCGCATCATAGTTTCACACATGCACAACATAACAGGCAATATTAAGTTGCTAATATATAACAATATTAAAACGTTGACAATATTTTTGTCAACGTTTTTCGTTTGTCCACTTTTCAAATTATTTACTCACAGAAGCAGTGCAAGTATGTAAGAATATGCAATACAAAGGAAAATGCAAGCAACAAATAAGTAATATTTAAATCGAAAATTTAAAAGATTCAAAAAAGTCAAATAAGACAGACACAAAATCAACTATTAGAAGATTTTTAATTCTTTTTTGGAACGAACCTGAAAAAACAATCACACGCATATGAGACTTTAAACCGCTTAATTTTTTCGTATATCTTAACAAATCAACCAAATAAGTATTTCAAAAATAAAATTCAAGAAAAGAAAAAACAAAAACCATAGTTGCTCCTAAACCAGGAATGTTATGGTGCTATTTTGGAAACGGGAAAAAAACGTGAAAGAAAAACAAAAGCCACCGGTAATTAATAAATCAGTGGGAAAAAAACCATCGATCAAAAATCAATTGGAACAAAAAAAATAAAGAACATTTTTGTATCAATTTCACACAAACATACATACATACACATTGTATTCGTGAACATTTTATAAAATCGATAAATAAAATCTTCTATAGAGAAATCAATCACGGTAAAATAATTAAAAGTTAAACAGGAAATTGCATAGCAATTATCATTGTTTGAATGTATGAAAATAAAGATCCATTGTTGTCCATTTAGATTTCACAGTTCACATTATTTTGAATTAATTATTAACAACGCAATACTAAAGCGATAAGCAACAAACTTTAACCACATAATTTTTTTAATTTTTTAAACCTTAGGAAGTTTATACAATAAGATTTTATCTTCTACGTAAGTAAGTAGTAAACGAAAATATTCTAACACTTGTTTAAACAAACCATTCGGAAAACATTAAAAAATTGTTAAAATAAATGTTAAAATTTTGAACATACACAAAAGTACATAAGAATATATGTGTTTATACTCGAACATTGCGTATATGTATGTATACATTATGTTTGCAAATATAATTTCAAATTAGCGTTTCGACTTAAAAGGATTTGCAATCGAAATCAAACTTCAAACCTTTTCAAGCTTAACATTTTCAAAATTCAGTTTACTTATCACAACATCCATATTATATCGGTTTCGGTTCATTTCAGGCCAATTTTAGAAAACACAAATCATTTACATAACCTGATCTGCAAAGACTAACACTAGTATGTGTAAATCAGACAGAGATACTTAGCTATATCTGTAATTCCTTTGACCGTAACAGAACTTAATTTTATGTAGTTTAGTAGCGTTGCTTAAAATTAAAATTAAAAAACGCATCCTTTCGTTGGGCAATGTTATCGTTTATGTATAGCTTCCATGCATAGTAGTATATAATTATTGCTAAGTCACATTACTAAAAAATAAAGCAATATACTTTCCAAACAATAAGAGATAATTATCAGAATTCAGAAGCCCAATTTTCTCAAAAAATTTCTAAGCTTTTTCTAATATTTCCACAACATACAATAAGATAATTAAAAATTAATAAGATATGGACTTATATGGCTCAGATTGCGTAAAGTGCTTAACTTAGAAAAAAATATGAATGTAATACAAAAAATGTAGTATATAATTAAATGTAGGCACATTAACATTCGGCAAGAGCCACATTCAAAATAGTAATACTTTTGTTCTGCCAACTTTATCGACACACTCAAACAACATTACTGATTCAATTCAAATAAATTTAAATTTCAATCTATACACACTCATATTTGAAAATATTATTTGCATACAAATGCAGTTTTACGTAATTAGTGCCATTATACTTAACATATTCATTTATTTTTATATTATTCTTCTATATAGAAATTTTTTGCAAGTTATTAATGACGCATCAATTGTCATTGAGTATAAAAATAAGCACCTATGAGCTTACAAAAACAAAACTGAGCATATTAAATTTATTGCATAATTTGATTGCAGGTAAAATTGAATTTTTAATTCAAAAGTTCATTGGTTTATTTATTTTTTCTTCGACTCTTATTAACCTTTTGTTAATTAAAAATCTCTTGTTACTTAAATGAATTTGTTCTATTCATTTTACAACTTGGCTATGCCTAACAGTTAAAATATCAGTATGCCAAATTGTTTTGTAGATTTTTGGACTATTGGACAGGAAATCTATGAGTT